TTGTTCTCCGCCATCGCCTTGATGTCTGAAATACAGCAGGCCTTCTCCAACTCTCCAAAAGAACTTAGAGCGCACCCCATACCATTGCTGTATGATAAGTAGTAAGCCATGAGATTCTGGATTGCCACCAATTGCTTAAACATCCGGGTGCGACATATGTGATCGAAAGCGCCCACCCCGTCGATGCTGACGATGACCTTGGTAGGTCAAGCTCAAGCCTGTATGCCCATAAGGGGCGGCCACGTAGCGCACAGGCAGGGAAAACACTGCAGGCTCTGCGGCTGGCGCTTTGGCAAACTAATAAGAGATGAACGAAACAGAAAGCGGCAACAATAGCCCCGGACAATTTTGAAAGTAGTCGGCAACACATTTGGGATACCGGCAAAAGCGACATGGCAAAAATGTGTGCGCAATGTGGGGTGTTCCACGCGGGTCAGGCAAACCAAGCTACCATTACGCTTGGGAGGGGCAAGCCTACGCAGTGCTACTACAACACCGGCGAGTTCCGAATCACATTGAATGTGTGGTGCCTGTGATTCGGCGCGCGCGGTCTGTAACTCAACGTTTGGTCTGTGATTCGGAGCCCCCCAACTACAGCACGGTTCGCTGCGTATGCTAGGGCAGACACGCTACTTGGATTATTGCGACGGTACCCCCCCAATAGTTGGTCACGACATGTTGTGTCGTTTAAGTGCGCTACACAACAAACCAACGGGCGTGGCCTTGGTGGGGCCGCAATGTTTGGTAGCCGCACAAACAGTGGGACAATATTGTGCCGATGCTGGATGGGGTGCCAAACCATTGTGAGATGTTCTTGCTTTAGGGGAGCAACTGCCGCAACCAAACGGTGCAGGAATCAACTTGGGAGAATGGCGTCATGGATGGCAATTCCATACGAATGCTTCTATGGAACAATTTGCAGACCATAACCTGCGACGGGAACTAATTCCCTGGGTAGCCAGAGGGATGCGGCCTCATCCGGGAAAGCACGACATTTATCTTGCATGGGACCTTTTCATAGCCACATGGCTCCTCGCAAGTCCTACGACGGATATGCTGAAAACTCGTAATGGACGGGCTTCAGTGCGTCATGCGACGGCGATTGCCCCGTCGCTTCTCCCACCTAGTCCTGCCCCCCTCGCTTCTCCCACCCACTCTTGCCTCCTCCTTTTCCTCCTGCCTCCTCCTCTTTCCTGTCTCGCCCCCTGCCTCCTCCTCGTGCCTGCTCCACCACCACCACCTCCTCCTCCTCCTCCATTTTCCCCTCCTCATTCTGCCTCCTCCCCCCATTCCCCATGCTCCTCCTGCCTCCTGCGTCCTCCTTCTCCTGCTGCTTTCCTCCTCCCTCCTCCTCCTCCTCCTCTTTCTCCTCCTCCTTATCCTCCTCCTTATCCTCCTCCTCCTCCTCCTCCTCCTCCGCCTCCCCTCTCCATCTTCCTCTTCTCCTTCTCCCTCCTCCGCTTCCTCCTCCTCCTCCTCCTCCTCCTCCTCCTCATCGTCTCCGTCTTTCCCCCCCTCCTCCTCCGCCTCCCCCTCCTCCTGCCTCCTCAAGCTTCCTGCCTCCTCCTGGGGACTCTTGGGGCCTCTTGGGGCCTCCTGGGGCCTTCTTGGCTCTCCGGGACATCCTGGTGCCTCCTAAGGCACTCCTCTTCCTCCATGTCCTCCTCGTTCTTCTCGCCCTCTGTTTCCTCCTTCTCCTCCTCTACCTCCTGCTTCTCTTTCTCGTCCTGCATCCTCCTTCCTCCTCCTTCTTCCTCCTCGTGCGGAACACGACGCAAAGTAAACGCACGACGTGCGTCCGGGCAGATACGCGCCGGAAGACAACGCAAAAGAAACGCGCGCCGGAGGACGACTGGGAGGAAAAACGCGATAGGTGCGGGCCCCATAAAAACGGGGGTTCCCGCCTGAGCCTTCCTCACAATTCACTCACAATCGAGGCTCCCGCCTGAAACTTCTCCCATACTCAGGCCTCAAAAGCTTAAAAGTGACGACAATTACAGGTTCGAGGATAGTCCGTTCGGATTGCCAACGTGGAGTGCAGGCCCCATAAGAGAGGGGGGTTCCCGCCTCAGACGTCCTCGCATTTCACTCACAAGCGAAGTGCCCGCCTGATGCTTCCTCCAAATTCAGGCATCAGGGGCCCAAAAGTGACGACAACTACAAGGTTCGAGTATGACCCGCTCGGATTACCAACGTGAAAAGCGGGCACCATAAGAAAGGGGCTCCCGCCTGAGACTTCCTCAAATGTCACTCACAGACAAGGCTCCCGCCTGATATTTCTCCCATATTCAGGCTGCAGCGACGACAGTTGCAAGTTCGAGGATGACCCGCTCGGATTACCAACGTGAAATGCGGGCCCCAAAGAAAGGGGCATCTCGCCTGAGACTTCCTCACAATTCACTCACAGACGAGGCTACCGCCTGATACGTCCCCCATACTCATGCCTCAAAAGCCCGCCAAAAAAGACAAATACAACAACTGGTAAATCCGCACGGATAAAAAAAAAAACATGAACTGCGGACCCTATAGGGGGGGGGGGCTCTCGCTTGAGACGTCCTCGAAACTCACTCACACACGAGGCTCCCGCCTGATATTTTCCCGATATTCAGGACTCAAGAGCGCAAAAGTGACGACAACTACAAGATCTGGATGACCCGCACGGATTCATAACATGATCTGCAGGCTCCATATGGAAGGAGCTCCCGCCTGGAACTTCCTCGCAATTCAATCACAGACGCGGTTACCGCCTGATGCTTCCCCCATATGCATTCTTCAGGAGCTAAAAAGAGTCGACAATTACAAAATCTGGATGGCCGGCTCGGATTCATGACATGACCTGCGGGCCCCATAGGGAAGGCGCTCCCGCCTGAGACTTCCTCGCGATTCACTCACAGACGAATCTCCTGCCTGATCTTTTTCTTCAAAATCAAGCCTCAAGAACCCAAAAGTGACGATAATTACAGGATCTGGATGACCCGCTTGGATGAATAACATGATCTGCGGCTCCCGCCTGAGACTTCATCACAACCCATTCAAAAACGAAGCTCCCCCCTGATATTTCCCTCATATTCAGGACTCAGGAGCCCAAAAGTGACGACAATTACAATATCTTGATGACCCGCTTGGGTTCATGACATGATCTGCGGGCCCCATGGGGAGGGGGCCTCCCGCCTGAGACTTCCTCGCAATTTAATCACAGACGGGGCTCCCGCCTGATACTTCACCCATGAAGCAGGAGCCCAATGGTGACGACAATTACGGAACTGGATGACCCGCTCGGATTAATAACGTGATATGGGAACCCCTTTGAGAGGGGGCCTCCCGCCTGAGACTTCCTCGCAATTCACTCACAAACGAGGCTCTCGCCTGATACGCCCCCCAGATTCAGGACTGAGGAGCCCAACAGCGACGACCGTTACAAGATTTGGATGATTCGCTCGGGTTAATAGCATGATTTGCAGGGAGGGGGCTCCCGCCTGAGACTTCCTGGCAATCCACTCGCAGACGAGGCTCCCGCCTGATACTTCCTCAAATGTGGGTATGTGAGTGAGTGAGTGAGTGAGTGAGTGAGTGAGTGAGTGAATGGTGATTATGATGATGACGACTATGATGATGCTGATGATGAAGATGATGATGCTGATGATTAGGATGATAGGAGTGTAATGATGAGTGAGTGAGAGTGTGAATGAGGAGGTGCTGGGTGATGGAGAGGAGAGGGAGGGGGTGAGGGTGAGACTTGCTGCGAGGGGTGTCCAGAGAAAACAACAACCCCACTTTGGATGTGGGGAAAAACTCCAGCGCCGTGCATAGCATCGTGAATATCATATTGCCCGCAAACCGTTTGATGGTCAATGCCCCCCCACCCCTGAGCCTATCTAGCAAAGACCCAAAAATATCAATACCGCTGATTCCCGGACCTCTCCCAGAAGGTGTTCAACGCACAAGCCTGAACATGAGTTTTGAACACGAAAAGCCGGGGCGAAAAATTCAAACCTCGATTTTCAAATTGGTCGGCCGCGAAATTTCCGGTGAGTCGGCCGCTTGGACTTCTGGGAGGGGAACCAGGACGAACATTTCAAAACTAAAACCTAGATTTTGGATCGGTTGGCCATGAGATATCCAAAATAAAGCATTCCAGAATCTGGAAATTCGGTGCGGGACGTTCCGGAGAAAATGTTGGGACGAACGCTTCAAAACCTTGCCAGTGCGGTCAATTGCTTGTAGGAAGCCCGGCCCATGCCCGTGCAGAAATTTCTTTGATAGACAAAATGCCTTGATGGAACAAATCCTTGTATTTAAATCGTCGCCGCACCAGATCGTCGCCTCCCTCGGCTCCGTCAGAAAAATAAAATAACCAACGAGGGTTGGTACGGGAACCAATGGGTGACACGGAAACCGGTGAAGGTGGATACGGGAACCGGCGTGGTTGGATTCGGAAGCTGGTGTGTGCGGATACAGAAACCGGTGGCATGGGATACGGAAACCGGTGTAAGAAGATATGGAAACCGGTGAAAATGGATACGGAAACCGGCGAAAATGGATATGGAAACTGGTGAGGGTGGATACGGAAACCTCTCTTTGGATACCGAAGCCGTTCTTTGGATACTGAATCCGTTGCCGCCAATGTCCGAGTGATCACGTTTTATGCCACGGGAGGATTGCAGCGGAGCTACGCCCACGGCAACCAGCCTTAAATCATGGACGGGACTATCCGAAACGCTGTTTTTGATCCAGCATGGTATGCGAAGTGGCGTATCCCAAAACAAAAGGGCCAAGTACTTTCTGTAGCACCATATTTTGACCGAACTCGATGGAAACGGATGATCGACACAAGATTTACACTTTGACGCCATATCGGTTGTCGAAGGGCACTGCAAGATCAACGCTCGAGACTTTGTTCTGGACGAAAACAGCATGACAATATTCTGATCAACGTCTCCACTTCTTGCCCATCCGTGCACTGCCTTTGCATAGCCGCTGGAAGGAGAACACGTCGCATTTTTCGCAGCTCGAGCCGCACGAGCAACTCCACAAACAGGCCTGGGCTGCTACCAAACGGGCAACAGCACGAATTATCGATGTGGGAAGGAGGAGCTTGGGCATGTCAACGGACCACATCGCCGATCCTGGCCGGGTCGATCCAGGGCCCAGCTCCTTAGCCTACACAGGCCAGGAGGACAGGATGGGACCAGCCAGGCTCGGTGAGGCTGTCAGCTGACGCCCGAAGAGCACGAGCACGTAGAACGGGCCCTTCAAGTGTGGGCGCAATGGCTCCTGCCCCTTCCCGCATGCTCTCTTCCCGCGTTCCGCCGTGCCCCAGCTCGCTCATGGCGCGTCCCGCCCGTTGCCCGACCGGCGCCCAGGCCTGCCTCGGCTCGCCTGCGCCCGCTGACTTGGAAGATGTGGGCTCAATGGTTCGGCTGGCGAATCCGACTTTTGCCACCACCCGTCCTGCCCTCCATCAGCCCGCCATCACCATGTCGGCGCTCCAACGATGCCTGGTGGCCTTCGTCGCGCCACCTGCCGTCTGGCGCAGGGAGCACGCTGCGAGGCTCACATCTGCGCCCCTCGAATCTCGCAGGGGTGGCTGGTACGGCGGGTTCGTGTCGTGCTGACGCCGGCGCTGGTGTCTGTCACCGCGCGGATCGTTCGGGTCTCTGGTGGCGTTCGGCCTTGAACGCCCGCGCCTGGGCTACCGCACTGTAGGCCCCTTCTCTTGCCCAATGCCGCGATCCTCCGCGGTCGCGCAAAGAGAGCCAGGCCCTCACCTCAAACCGTACCTCTCCCCTCCGTTTGGCATGGCAAATCCAAGGGGTCCTGGGGGAACCGGGTCCTGGACCCTGGGGCTCTCTCCGGGACCAGCTCTTCTAGAGGAGCAAAGACAGGCAAAAGCGTAATTTCTCTGAGGTTTACGTTGGAGTCCCCAAACGGTGCGGTGAGAGACCGTGCGGTGACCTCGAAATCACCCATGACCTCACCGCACGGTCCGTCACCGCACGGTCTTGGGGACCTCGGATGTCCCTGCCGCCCGAGACGTCCTCGGAGAGGGGCTCGAGTCCCAACATCGTGCGGAGACCCCGAATCCCCGCCGACTCACCACACGGTGTGGTCACCGCACCGCTTGGGGGCCCCCGGTCTGCGTGAACTTCCCATGCCCTCCCTGGCGGCGGAGCGCATCAGCGGCGGCGCCGGAGGCGCCGCCAGGGAGGCCGGGCTCCGATCCAAGAAATCCGCGCGGAGCTCCGAGAATTCTTTTTTTTTTTTTTTTGCTGGACGGGCATCGTGTGTGGCTGTTCTGCTGTCGTTCGTGTTCATTGATGTTTTTTATATAAAAAACGAGAATTCATGTTTATGGTGCTGTTTTGTTCCGCGATCTTCCTCCCGAGCCGCTCTTCGCCAGCCCTGGGGCCCCGTGGAGGGCCCCAGGCACCCCAGAGCAGCCCCAAGGACCCGAGGCCTCGTGGAGGGCCCCAGGAACAGGAGCGCAGCCCACGCACCTCCAAGAGCCGCTCCCCTCGGTGAGACGAAGCCAGGGCGATGATAAGATCGGGTGGGGGCAAATCGAGAATCTGACCTGGCGCTTCTGGAGAATATCTGGGGCGCCGCGGCTTTCTCGTTTCGGAACGCTCTGAAGGCGTTCCGGAACGCTCTGGAACGGATCTTCTCCTCGTCCTTGCGCCGCCCGGCTCGGGGCCCCCGTTGCTCCGCTGTGCTCACCACAGCTGCCCTCGCCCGCTGCACCGGACGCGCCAGACGCGGCCAACTCGAGGTTCTGGAGTCTCCGCTACCGACCACCGCGCCCAGCTCTAGCGCTCCGAGGGCAGGGTCTCCCACTCCGCATAGTTACCCGCCCGCGACGTCCGCCTCGACCTGGGCGGCGCCATCTCGGTGATGCCCCTTGCCCCTGCCCCCAGCGGGTACACCCTGCGAAATGCTTAAGAAATCATGGGTTAAGAAATTCATAGTCTCGGAACTTGAATAAACACCCAACGTTTCCATGAAAATCTCAAGATTTACATTGAAACGTTAAGAATAGTCGAGACTCTGGCCGAAAACTTAAGTTTTCTTAAGCATCGCCTAAGGTGTACTGGGCAAGGTCCTCAGCCTCGCTGCTTCCGTGCTGGGGGCCGTGATCGTTACCTCCCTGGACAGCCACCTGGGCGGCTCTCTTCCCTCGGTGGCGGGCCCAGGGGGGGAGTGAGGGGGGGCGTGCCTTCTCAAAGCCCCAGAAGGCCTCCGGCCATCCGAAAAGTTTTCGGCGCCTGCTCCGCAGGCATGACTGGGCGTCTTCTCGGAAGGCCGCAAGGCTTTCTGAGAAGACCCTCCGCTGTCTGAGAAGGCCTGCCCCTGCCCCCTCTCGTTTCCTCCCTCGGCGAGCCGCCGACTCTTCTCCGCAATAAGGCACGCCAACGCTGCAATGGCGTCGGCGTCTTGTTTTGACATCACAGATAACGCTCATCCCTAAACGATCGCGGCTTTCCACAGGCGCAGATCGTTCGACATCCACCGATTCAGGGCGGCTGTCGGTGTTCAACCTTGCACGCTCGCGCTTAGGTCGCCAATGCATCACGACTCGAACCTACCGCACACCCTCTCTGCGACCCAGACCCACGAGGTCCCAATGTATCAAGACGTGGACCTTCTGAAATTTCGGCTTCATCTCTCGCTTATGTTGAAGAGGCTCACGCCAGTTCCGCCGACCCCCCATCGCAAGGGATGCTGTCATCGTGTTGGCTGGCCTCACGTCGCAGCCTCAGTGCTTGGCTTCGTACGCTCCGCACGCGTATCTGCGTGTCACACGCCGACGGGGGCTTAGCTCGAGCACAACGCCTACGCTGGCGTAGAGGGTTCCCCGAGGCTCCCGGCAGGGGACACCCCCAGCCGCCTCGGCCCTCAAAGGGGCAGGGAGGGGCGCCAACGGCGGGGCGGGTGGCGGGCTTCGCTCCCCGTGGGCCGCAATAGCAGCCTCAGATACGAAAGAGATCCGACGACCTCGAGAACATTCAACACTGCTTTTGGGAACCGCCGATGCCGAGGAAGACGGACAACAGCCGAGAGCCAACTCTGAGGACGAGCAGGAGAATTGGCATGAAACCAGTTCATGGGATGAATGGCGCTGGACCCTTGAGTTTTCCACGCGCTCTTCATCCCGAATCGTTTCTGGACGGCCCAATGGCATAATTGGCCCCCACAAGTGCCAGAACAAAAACACACAATGTCGCCGACCCCTTGAGGGTCCTCGGTGTGTGAGACAATTGCCTCTCTCCAAACCACTCCCCTTGAAGCCCCGCCTGGCCAGCTTGGAGGGTAGGAGGTCGGGCCGCTGGACTCATCTCGCCCAGGAAAGCTCCCAGGCATGCAACAAGTGTCGCAGAAGGCCAACAAGACTGGCCAACCTAGTCGCCAGACGGACCAAGACGACATCAACAGTGCCCAAGAGGCTCCCAAGACAGCCCAAGAGAACCCAAGAGAACCCCAACGAGGGCGCCATGGCAAGATGCCAAACCCATCAGTCCCCCTTACAATTTTGAAAGGCTTGAACGTTCTCGCCTGTTTGGCCTTTACACTGCAAGACGGCCCAAGAGACTTGAAATACCGCCCCAAGACGACTCCATAGGCGCCCAATGGGGTCCCAGTACGGCCCAATAATAGGCCCCCACGACGGCCCAAGAAGCTTTCAAGAGGGTCCCTACAGGGTCCAATAAGGGAAAAGCGAAGGGCTTTCGGCAGCCGGTCCCCGAAACCCTGCACAACAAACTCGAAATTCGAAACACACCCCAAGAAACCCCCAGACGCCCATTCCCCCCAAGAGGCCTCACACATGCCTCCAAGACGCCTGCACAAAGCATCCCCAGAGGCCCCACGGATGCCTCCACAGAACCCTCTGACTCACAACCCCAGCACGGTGGCGACATTTGCCGACGGCCTCTCGGCATGTAACTACCACACCCGATCCTGCAGTCACCTTCCAGCAGGGCCCCAGCATCCTTCTCCGTCTCCCTCCCCCCCTCGCCCTCCCCCTCCTCTCCTCCGCCTCCCTCCCTCTCCCTCTCGCTATCCCTCTCCCTCTCCCTCTCGCTCTCCTCTCCTCTCCTCTTGCTCTTCCCCTCCTCCCCCTCCTCTCCGACGCCTCCCACCGAGGCCTCCGACCCACATGAGCGGTCGAATCGAAGTGGACCCTGGATGTAGGGAAGGAGAGAGAAGGTTGGCGGCGCGCAGAGGGGGGGTAGTTGGGGTGAGGGGGACAGGCTTCTTAGAAGGAGGCTGCTTCTTGGGAGGCGCTGGCGCACCATCGAAGAAGCAAGGGTGCCTCTGAGAAGCCTCACCCCCTCCCCTTACCCCCCATCTGCGCGTGGCCGTCGACGGAGAGGGCGGCACTTGCGCCGATGCTCTCCCCTCGCGCCCTCGGCGGGCGCCTCGGCCCGCGCGCGGGGAGTCCAAGGAGGCGCGCCCACTGTCCAGATGGCCGCCGCCTGGGACTGAGCGCGCGGGCGGGCGCGGCTGCCTCGTGCCGTGACGACCCGCGGGCCGGTCTCCGATGCCGTGTGGCTCGCTCAGCCTAGAACGGTCGCGGCTCTCCGATCGCGCGAGGTCGCTCGACATCGGCCGGTTCCGGGCCGCTGGCGGTGGAGTCGCCGCCGCGTCGGCACAACGCGAGCCAGCCCTGCCAATCGAGACACACTATCAAAAATGCAGGGGTGAGTGGCGCCGGCTCGGCGGACTGCGCCAGGGAGACGCAGATCCGAGGGTGCCAGGCAGGGTGGCGGGATCGGAGCGCGCCCGACCCCGAGGTGCCTCCCTGCAACGCGGCCCCGACGTCCTGTTCGCCTCCTCCTGCGTCGTCCTGCTCCTCCTCCCCCCTTTTCCCTCTCGCCTTCCTCCTCGCCTACCTCCTGCTCAGCCCCGAGGGGTGTTACCCGGGCCGGGGGGGCTGTGACGGGGTCTCTCGGGGAGCAGCATTCTACTTCCCTGGCCTAGACGCGGAAGTGGTTTGGGGCATCCGTGCCCCTGGGCCCTCCATTTCCTGTACCTGCCGCTCCCTGGCCGATTGGCCGCCTGACTGCTCCTGCCTGCTGCCCGTGTATGAAGGGGAACTGGAACACACAAATAAATACACACAAATGAAATGATTCCCCATATTTTCCCATATTTTCTGGGTTTTTGTCTTCCCGCCCAATTCCCATATTTTCCCATATTTTCTGGGGAATCGAGGATTAATTGTGTCTGTGTGTTTCTTTCCCTCCTGAGTGTAAGCAAGCCTGTGCTCTGGCATACGCGCACGCGAGAACCTCATGCGCTCCGCGCGTGCTCCGCCGCCCGCGGCCTCCTCTCCACCCCCTTCCGCGCACCAGCCCGCTCCTGCCGTGCGCCCAGGCGTTGCCCCGCAGCGCTGCCCTCGGCTGCCCCGGCCGCGCCTCGGTTCCCAGGTCGCCGCGACGAAAAGCCCGCTGGACGCGAGGCTCGGCTCCGAGGGCGGGATGGCGGACCCCTCCCTCTCGGAGGGGGGGAGGAGGAGGAGGAGGAGGAGGAGGAGGAGGAGGAGGAGGAGGAGGAGGAGGAGGAGGAGGAGGAGGAGGAGGAGGAGGAGGAGGAGGAGGAGGAGGAGGAGGAGGAGGAGGAGGAGGAGGAGGAGGAGGAGGAGGAGGAGCGGAGGAGGAGGAGGAGGAGGAGGAGGAGGAGGGGGGGCGGCAGACCCACCCCCCAGGGCCCGCGGCCTGCTGCGCCTGCGAGGTGCACTCGTCGGGCCTCGGGGCCCGAGCCCAGACGTGCGGTGTCCTGGCTTTCTCGGGCCTCGGGGGCCCCAGGAGTCCGAGCACCCCCTCCCCGCATTTTTAGCTCTGCGTCCTGCCTCGCTCTCCGACGGTTCCCCGGCCCCGGGGAGGGGGCCCTCAGAGGCCGACGGCTGTGAAGCAACGCCCGTGTGAAGGGGCCCCAGGACACACAAGTAAATACACACAAATCAAAGTAATCCCCATAGTTTCCGATATTTTCTGGGTTTCTGTCTTCCCCCCCACTTCCCATATTTTCCCATATTTTCTTGGGAATCGAGGATTAATTGTGTCTGTGTGTGTTTTTTCCTCTCCTGACCGAGGCCGGCCCCCTGGGGCGGCTGCGGTGCGCTCAGGACCATCGTGGGGGGCGGAGCCCGTCGGGTGACGGGCGGTACGCCGCGCGTGCCCGCGGGGATTGTGGGCCAACGCGGTCAACGTGTGGGATTGTGGGCCAGGGCGGGGAACTCTTCCGACACCGTGCCTGGCACGGAGCGAAGCGGAGGGAAGGAAGGAGGGCGGAGAGGGAGGAGGCTCCCTCACGCGCCCGGCTTGCCGATGCTGCTCGGGCTGACCTCGCGCGGCGCGGCGGCGCTGGGCGACGCAGCGGCCACCTTCTGTCGGGGGCGTCCAGGAGGGGGGCCGTCCAAGAGCGGGGTTCGCAAATCATGGGCCGAGGCTCGTGCGCGGCCCAGGGGGGCCAGGGACAGGATTGAAATGAGAGCAGGGGGCCATGGAATCTGGGAGGTATCACGGCCCAGCCATGATACCCCCCCCGTAGTCATCACCCCCCTCTTGGTCGCCCCCGGTCCTAAGCGAGGGCGAGCCCAGTGCCTGGCAAACCTTCACCCCTCCCGATGTGTACTCCAGATTTCGTAATATAAAGGGAGGGGGGTCTCATTTCGGGGGGGGTCTCTTCCAGGCGATCTGGGAGGGCCTGGGGGGTCTGGGGACGATGTTCTGGAGGGTTCTCCCGCGGGGGAGGTCTGAAATGGCTTGTCTTGGAGGGTCCAGACCCCCTCCCTTTTATTACGAAGTCTGGAGTACCCTGACTCGTTTCGCGAGACTGATCCAGCCGTGCCGACGGAAAGCCTCTTTGGGAGCCCAGGGGAAGACGGAGAACGCCAGGGAGGGCCGCCAGTGTCTCGACTGGCCCTCCTCCGAGACTGGCCTCCTCCTCCTCCTCCTCCTCCCCCTCCTCCTCCTCCTCCTCCTCCTCCTCCTCCCTTCCTCCTCCTCCTCCTCCTCCTCCTCCTCCTCCCCCTCCTCCTCCTCCTCCTCCTCCTCCTTCTCTCACACACAACCTGAATGTGTCAGAGTTCGATGCGCGCTCCCTGTGGGAAAACTGAACGACCAAGGTCAAGTAGACGGGAAGAAAGAAAACAATGACGTCGACGATGGCAGGATTGAGGTCTGGCCCCTAACTGGGTGCTCCCTGATGTCCGCCATCACCTTTCGACTCAAGTAAGGTTCCACGGGCATACAGAAATGCCGCAGTGCAGGATGAAGCTTCCCAAAGCCCAAGTCTCCCTTAAGTTTCGAACGCTTGGTTCACGCCTCGCAAGAAAACGCAACGGCGAGCGGCACAACCAAGACTTCTGGAAAACGCCCAAGAGGGTCCAAGAGGGCCCCGAGACGGCCCCAAAGCGCGCCAAGACTGGCGGGTACGCTTCTGCATGTGCCTTTGTCGACTCGCCGCTGTCCTGAAACCCCTGGACAGTCAAGTGCTGATGATTCCCTGAACTCATTCCTCCACCAAATTGCAAGCTCATGAACGCATAACAATGAGGTGGGCTTGAGTGCCTGTGATCCGAAGCGACACTAGTGTATGGCACCGTTCTCTGGCGGTGGTCCCCTTGAGGCCCCAGGGTTGGAGGAGGCTTCGGATGGGGCAAACAAAAACTCTGGGGTAGGCTTGGAATCCAGCGGCGTATCAGATTTCACGGGGTGGGCCCGCCAGAATTCCACACATGCGGCCATGCTTGAGTGGCCCTCACCACCGCGTCTGGACTTCATGCGCCCATTTGGCACCGTCAGTCAGGATTAAGGATGACACCACAACTCTAAATCATGTGTCCCCGCATTCCTGATCGAGGTCGTCCTGGGAATCCTTCGACCTCCGGTGTCCTGACAGCAGGAGGAGAAACTACTGGTGTTTTTCCAGCCATGGGAAATGAGTTGGCCACTCGCGAATTGTGTTTGGAAATCTCCAGCCGTCCTCGCTTGGATCACTTTGTCTATATTGTCTGAGGCTGGGATCGTGTCCTGCGGTGTTGGCGCAAGTGGCCCGTGACAAAAACTTGACTTGGCCTTTTCACTCTCTGGGCTGTCCTTCGCTCTGTTACCTTTCTGAACCTGCCTTACTTGGGTCTGTGATCCGATCAATTCCTCAAAGCCCCGCGTATGACAGTCGCTATTCGAACCCGGCAGCCCTTGGGTGTCCTGCGAAGTGTGCGAGGGAGCGGTTGTAGGCCTGGAGCTGCACCATGCGTTGTTGGCAAGCCGTCCCCGTGACCAAGGACTGGGGTTAGTCCCAAATCTTATACTTCCTCCCCCTGTGCACCCTGCGGGTGCGTCTCGACTCGGTGCCAAGCCCACACTTGTAACAAACGAACAAAAGGGAATTGCTGTGGTTGGGGTCAGGGTCTTCGACGCTCGAACCGTCAAGATCCAGGGCCGTCGGCGAGGGCCACTGCTGCTGCTGCTGCTGCTGCTCTTCCCTCCCCTACTGCGTCCCTCTTCTTTCCCTAGCCGCCGGACGATCTTCTCGCGCTTGCAAGAAAGTGCCTGTAGTCTCGGAGAGCTTGCTCGTCCAGGGTGGCTTCGGAGCATCTTTGGACCACCTTCCCAACTTGTTCGAGGTACTGTTTGTTACTGTGCCTGGCAAGGTAGGGCCACGCCCTCACTGGTCCATCTCCTGGGGTTTCTGAGCGACAACTTCAAGACCCATCTGAAGCCAACAGCAAGAAACGCAGTCCATCCTGTGTTTGCATCCAGCAAGAAATGGAGTACATCAAAGTGGCATGTCCGACATTTGCTTGACAAGCCAGGCAACACAACGCAGTCGCGCAAATCTTAAAACATCAACGACGGCAAATCTCTGCCTGACAGAGGACGTGCCGGTTGGTGTTCTAGACCTCGCTACTGCTCCCGAGGGGAAGTCCGAGGGTGGCCCTGTAAACCCTGAACAGGGCTCCTGCGAGCCCAAGCATGGTCCTAAAGGTGAGGTCGCTCCAGATGGCGCAATTCTCAAGAAATCCCGAGATGGAAACGCCTCGGCATATCTGATCTTGTGATATTTGCTGAACTGGTGGCTCTTACCTGGTGCCGTCGTAATAGGTCTTACCTCCCAGGCACTCTGGCGATTCTGTGTGCAACCTCCGCCGTCATATCCCCCTTGTCGCTGATGATGGTGCCTAAAGGTTTCATGGTCCGCTTGATGAGGCTATGCTAAGTGCTGCTGACCCGTCTTTGTCCTGGCCCTGCACTTCTTGCGGCCACCTACACTCTTGGTACGCGTTGTTCTGATCTTGCTGCTGGGCTGGGGGTCCTGGGGGCGGGGTCCTGGTGGGCCGGATCCTGGGGGGATGCTGGGGGCGCCGACCCACTTTGGGATCTTTCGGAATCTGTCACCCTGGACCCACGGTTCCCGCCCCTAGACACGACTTCGGCAGCAGCCAGCACAGCCGAGACGCACGTGGCTACAATCGCCCCACGGGCGATCCACTCCCTCCTCCTCCTCCTCCTCCTCCTCCTCCTCCTCCTCCTCCTCCTCTTCCTCCACCTCATCCTCGTGCGCTCCTGGCTAGACAGCAAACCCACGTGGGCGGGCTTGCGTGGGCCATTGGCAGCTGCTTGGATGAGCCTCCTCAGGATTGGCTGGACGATGCAGTCGAGCCTCATCCTCGTCACGGACTTGGGCGACATGGTGGAGCTACTTCAGACGCCTCCCAAGGACGTCGCCCACCTCGTGAAGAACGGCGTCCGCCGCTGGCAAGGGCGCCAGATCCTAAGCCATCATGACTTGGCACCTGCTGGGGCAACGCTTTGGCACCGTGCCATGCGGCGCGTGCTGGCGCCCCCCTCGGCGGCGCTGGCAGGCGCGCGTGCGGGCCAGCTTCGCAAGCTCTGGGCCGGCGCCTCCTGGGACCTTGCCAAGCGGCACGAAATGGGATACGTCGCCAGCCCACATTGCCCATTTTGCCCTGGCGAGGTTGCGTGCACACGAGGTCACCAGTTCTTTGGCTGCCCGCACGTCCTGGCGCAGGGCGACGATTACGACGGGGGTCAGCTCGAGGCTCTCAGCGAGCAGGGGGCGAAGGTGCGCGAGCGCATGTTGAACAGGGTCTCCACTGGCCTCGGGGATCAGAGCTACGACCAATTTGACATGGTGGTCGGCCTCCCGCTCGTCCCTTACGACATTCCCGCGCCTGCGATGGAGGCGGAAGTCCACTTCTGGGGAGATTGGAGCTCCCACGCCGGGTGGCGAAGCACGGTTGCCTACAGCGACGGGTCTGGCTACGACACGTCCTGGCCCGAGCTCTGCAAGTGCGGCTGGGCGGTGGTCCAGATGAGTGCCGACAACTTGCCCATGCGCGCCATCTACGGCGCCCTGCCTGGGCGACGACAGGCGGTGGGGCGGGCGGAGCGTTGGGCTTTCCTGCAGCTCTTGAGGCATATGCCGTACGTCACTCACGTGATCACGGATTTGGCCTCCCTCGCCTCGGAGATCGACGAGTGGCGCGAGGACCTCGCCAGCTCGCGCGGCCAGTACGCGGACATCTGGCGCAAGGTCTTCCACATCGCGGAGCAGCAGCCCCGACCTGGGGTCACTTGGTGCCCCGCGCATAAGGACGCCCACCACTACCTGTTCAGCGGTGGCCGGCACGACGTCAACGACTTCTACGGCAACGCATGGGCCGACTTCTTCGCGAAGGTCGGCGCCCAGGGCCACGTGTTGCCGCGCGCGCTGCACGACCTGTACCGCATCAAGATGTCCGATGCAAAGGAGGAGGCTCGCCTTTTCGCGTGGCTCATGGCTGCGATCGGCACCACGATGGACGACGCCAAGGAGCTGGTGCCCAAGAGGATGAGGCCATCCGCCCCCGCTGCACCTGTACAGTTGGTGCAGCAGCGCCACCAGCTGGTTCGCAAGCCTGCGAGCTGGCAATGTGCGTTCTGCCTTGCTTCGGCGTCCACCGAGGCCGCGTGGAGGCGCGTGGAGCGCACGGAGTGCGCGCCCTCCGCCCTGCAGAAGCTGATGGCCCGTGCAAGGGCTCGCCTCCCATATTCGACCTCATCCTCCCCCTCCTCCTCCTCCTCCGCTGCTGCTGCTGCTGCTGCTGCGCCGCTGCCGACAGCGCGCGCGGACGCCATCGCGATTGCGTCGCGGGCGGCGGACAGGGTCTTGGGGCCCGAGGCTGGCGTACAGGGGCAGTCTACGGGCAGCATTTTCTTGAGTGGGGTTCCGTCGGAACCCCAGGTGCCGACTGTGTCTAGTGGTGCCGATAGTTCTATTGGGCAGGCTGTTGCTGTGTCTAGTGCCGAGCCTGCGCCTTTTGAGCTCCTCCGTGGCCACCACATGGTCACCGAGGGCCCTTTTGTTTATTGTCTGAGATGTGGGGGGTCAGCTTCCACTCGGCAGTCCCCTGTGCTAATGGCTTCGTGCACTGGCCAAGTTACTTGGGAGTCCAGTCGGCTCAGATCTACGGCCCTTAAGAATTTAAAGGCCAAATGTCACCCGCGTACTGGGATTCCCCTAAGCGGTGACTTCCACGCAGCTTTGGGTTAGCCGCGTTTTCCAATAATTTCGTGGCTCCCTCGGTTCTCGGCGGAGTCATTGGAATCTCGGGTCCACCTCATCCTCGTGTCCCTCCTCCTCCCCAGCCGCACCCAGTGCCCTTGGAGTCCCCTCAGCACCGCCAGGAAGGTCACCGGCCCCTCGGGCCTCATCGCCAGCGCCGAACAGCGCGCCAGCGCAAGCGAGCTTGGGGCCATCACGGAGCAGGCCTTCACGGTGCGCGCGCGCATGGCGGGGCGTGCCACCATCGGCGTATCCGACCATGACTATGACCGCCTCGACCTGGTCGTCGGCCTGCCCGTGCTCTCCCCTGCGAGCCGCCCAGGCCAGCAGTGGAGACGGACATCTTCTACTGGGGCGAATGGGACTCACCGCGGGATTGGCGCTCCCCAGCGGTGTACACCGACGGCTCGGGCTGCGACACGCCCTGGCCTGACCTCTTTGGCTATGCCTCGGCTTGCGCGCGCAGGAGTGCCAACCACCTGCCCATCAGGGCTATTCCAGGCGCCGTCGGGGGCAGCGAAGCCTGAAGGCCGAGCGTCACCCGCGAGCTGAGATCTCTTGAACCGATCACACTCCACGCAGCTCTGGGCAGCCGCGTCTTCGAACTTTCAGTCGTGGCTCCCTCGCTTTCTCCGCGGAGTCCTTGAAGTCTCGGGTCTTCTTCTTCTTCTTCTTCCTCCTCCTCCTCCTTCTGTTTGCGTTGAGCGAACTCTACGATCTGAGCTCGCAACGTTCCTGAGGAGAGCAACTGTGCGTCAGTAGCAGACACGGGGACCGAGGCACGCAGCGGTAAAACAAGGGCTGGCAATCAAATGCGGCAAACATGACTTACGCTAGCCCGCTAGGGCGCAGAGTACGCGTGCCGAGGTCCGTGGAAAGGGTGATTGGAATCCATGTGAACAGGATCCGCAATGACCTCCTCCTCTTCCTGCTCCTCCTCGCGCGTACGAGGGGACATGTCCTGATCGTCAGCTTAATGTTCTCGGTGAACTGCTGTTCGAGCGGCAGTGACCACGGCTGCCGCGGCCGTCTCTGCTATGGGTGTTTAGAAGGGAACGACATGGGTGAACAAAAGGGTGAAAACCGCAAAAGTTGCCCCCCTCCTCCTCCTCCTCCTCCTCCTCCTCCTCCTCCTCCTCCTCCTCCTCCTCCTCCTCCTCCGTCTCCTCATCCTCCTCTTCCTCCGTCTCCTCCTCCTCCTCCTCCTCCTCCTCCTCCTTCTCCTCCTCCTCCTCCTCCTCCTCTTCCTCGTCTTCCTCGTTTTCCTCCTCCTCCTCCTCCTCCTCCTCCTCCTCCTGACGCACCGCACCTCCGCGCGATCCCAAATCTGCGCGTCCGCGCACCCGCCGCCGCGGACGCGGAGACCCCCCGGCAGCCACCGCGGGCCTGGCTTCCGTTTCGGAAGGGAGGGGGAGCGACCGAGCCTGTGAAAGCACTGCTTCGTAGTGCAGAAGCGCTCATTGTCGCCGAATCCCCCCCCAAAGAACAAAAATGGTGGATCCCCTCCAGTCCGGCGCGCATGGATTTTACGAAAGACAACCGTCAGGCTCAAACTTAGCCCCTGGACACAATTCCATCCTGCTACATCCTTCTCCTGCTTCCTCGCGTCCTGCGGGGGACGGGAACGTGAAGGGCCTTCGACGCCCGGTACCCCTCGTCGCCGCTGCCGCAGCAACAGGGGCCGCAGCACCACCGCAGGCAACCCTTCCTCAGGGTGGGGGGGGGGGTGGAGCAGGAAGGGGAGGGATGAGACGAGGAGGAAGTGGGGAGGAGGGGTGACGAGGAGGGAAAGGGTGAAGAAGAGGAGAACGGGTGACGATGATGATGATGACGACGATGATGATGATGATGAGGAGGAGGAGGGACAGGAAGAGAAGGAGGGAGAGGAGGATGAGGAGGCAGAGGATGATGAGGAGGAGAAAGAAAAAATGAGGAACAGGAGAAGGAGGAGGAGGAGGAGGAAAAGGAGGAGGAAAATGAGGAGGACGAGGAGGAGGAAAAGGAAGAGAAGGAGGACGAGGACCGACCGTACCTTCCTTCAGTCCAACAGGCGTCTATGGCCTCATCGCATGCAGTGCAATAGCCATGCACTCCTTGCCTGTAGTGTAACGAAGCGCGGCGCTGGGAGCGGCGTGCGTACTGACACGCAGTTTGTTATAGAAGTGGAATGGCAATGCTGTTTTGCGGGCAGGTTCTGACATGGTGTGCTCTGGATTGGCGTGCTGCTCAGTCGATCCAAGGCCTATGCGGACAAGGGGGTCGGGGGAGAGGAAGGCACGAGGTAACGCGAGGAAGTGCAGGAGACGTGGACAGGTGAGGTAGTGGCCGAAGCGATCTGGGCATGCATCGCATCCGAGCAAACAGGTCTTGCGCGGCCCGAAGGGAAACAAGGAGGACGAGGAGGAGGAGGAGAAGGCCAATAATGATGATGATACTGATGATGCTGTGGAGGATGAGAACGAAGAGGAGGAGGGCGAGGAGAAGGACAAGGCGGAGGATGATGAGGAGGAAGATGACGATCACAGGCTCTGAGGGGCAGGTTTGGGTTACTCGACCCGACCTAACCGAAACCTTGATTCCATCCTCTCTCCACTGACGCTCTCTTCGGCATGCCTCTCCTCCCCTTCCTTGAGGAGCTGGGCGGCAGGGATGGGCTGGGAAAGACGGGGGCGTGCCGATAACCTGCTCTTGTCTTGTCGGCCACCTGACAAAAAGGGACCACGCATTCTGGGAAAACCTGTTTTGGAAGCTTCCCTTGCACTCACCCTTGAGTCCCTCGAGGTTGCTCTCGGAGTGGCGGCCGCACCGCTTGCGCACGACAAGGGAAGACTTTACATCAAGGTACCCACAAGTCAGAAGGTTGTGCTTCATGGGGTCACGGATCAAATTCGAAAAGGCAACAGAATTGCCTGGGCATGCTTCCAGCATGCGGGCCTTGCGTGTGCTGTCGGTTCTGGCGCGGGTGTGGCAAGCTAGGCGCAGCCAGTGTTCGTTTAGCCATGCCCACTGATGGCGGTGACGGTGCATCCCCTGCGGGCTGCGGCACGCACGAGCACTCCGAAGGAGACCCGCAGGGGGCTTGGGGGCCGTCCAGGCCTTGACAGCACCAGCAACACCAACGGGATGATTGAGGCGATTGGGGGGCTTCTCGAAGGCCTTCTTGCCCGCCTTCGGGGCAATGGAAGATCATTGGGACAGCGCTTCCTCCGCGTGCATCACAAATCTCTGGGCGCGGAAACGCGCTGACTTGTGAAACTCGAGCTCCAACTTGCTTGGCAACTCTGTCCGCCCGTTCCCTTCGGCAACGGACCGCTCCCTCGAGCCTGCCCCCGGGACATATAAGCCCTGGTGGGCCCTTCCTCTCCGGATCTCGAGAGAGCGAAAACTGTCCTGGGCGTAGCCCAAAACAGAAACACCTGCATACACTTCTTTCCTGCTGACCTCTGGGCACTGGTGGGCCGAGAGGATGCCTTTGAAATCCGCCCACGCTGTGGTGGCCCTGGGGCGGGAGGCAGCACCTAGGAACCCTGAGTGCTCGGCAGCGGGCGAAGTGGGAGGCGGGCTAGCCCCCGTGGGGCCCGAGATGCTGGCAACATGGTCGCCAGTCTCGTCGATTTTGACCGCGGACCAGGCGGGGGCGTCGCAAGCCGCGGGCCCTGGCTTTACAGTCTAGACCTGAACCTGGGGGGCTCAGAGCAACATGTTCGGGCTGCAGCTGGAAGCCCAAGACCGACGGGCACCCCTCCTCGGGTCCGCGAGCTCCTCCGCGCCTCCTTCCCCCAATCTCTCCTGGCGCAGGTTCCGGGCGCATGGGCGCTCGAAGAGCTGCGGGGAAGGGTGTCCACAGGGCCATGGCACATTTCGCAAACCACCTCGGTCTGATAGCCTGCTGTGACCATCTTCTCTTATGTCCCAATGCATTGGCGCGCGCCGGACAGCGACGTCTTCCGCGCGTGGCCTGGCAGCGAGGCGTCCTGCAACGCGCGCTGCATGTCTGACGGGTCGAGCGGCTCGTCGAATCCTCGCTTGGGGCTTGCCTGCATGTGAAGCTGCCGCTGCCGCTGGGCCTGGAACAATTTTTGGATGCGGGCGGGGAAGGTCGTGGCGGGGGGGGGGGGGGGTCCTGACAGAGGGGGGGGGGCCCTGACCGTTGGCGCCCTGCAGCACAGGCGGGTCGGGCATGGCCCACCCCAAACGGTTCAAACTGAGGAGCGCGGCCCCGAGAGGGCCTCGAACTTGGTGCGCCGCTTCTCCGAGGGCTTTTGGAGGGCCTCCAGGGTTTGGGCTCGTGGGTCGGGGATCGCGAATTCGATGGTCCCGGGGTGTTGTGAGCGGCCCTCCAACTAAGATTTGCCCAATAACAAGCTGGCCCCAAAGCGGTGCTCCAGATCGGGTCTCCCGGGGTCGATGACGCCGGGGATCTGGGTCTAGTTGCGCAGCGGGGGGCCGCGATGTTAATCCAGGGGCTGGGCCTCGCGCAGTTCGGGGTTCGTGGGTCCGACGACCTCGGCGCCGTAGTAGGCGGCGGCCTTCAAGCCTTCTCCCTCGCGCTCACCTGCGCGCCACGGCTGAGCGAAGCGGTGGAGTCAACGTTTCATCTTGGCCGCGCTTTTTCCCGAGGTCGTCCGAGCCTTCTTGGGAGCCCGATTTCCTATGGTGAAGTCGACTCCGAGGTTTGGCGCAGACGACGCTTGCTGGGGTCCCGCGGGCCCACTGTACTTTCCACGAGCCTTGGTCAATCTCTGCTGTGCCTCGGCTGAGGATCCCAGCGCCGCCACCTTGCGCAGCGCGACCGTGCAATCGAGATCCTCCTCTAGTAGATCCAACATGCCGTCGGCTGCCTGAGCAAAATCAGAGACCAGGGGCCAAACAGTGTGAAATCATCCATAAAAGCCGAGAGGGCCACATTTGGGGAACTTCGGCATCCAGGAGTCCATGGGGGGCGCCGAATACATCTGCACGTTGAAGGTTGCAAGCGAATCACCAGCAGGGAACCTTCCGGTGGCGCGCCCTGCGTACATGGCCAGGGTTTTGGTGGCCACTGCCCGAGGGCCCCCACTGGTTCATCATGATGCACGCCAGCGTCTCCGATAGCCCCGAAACTATTGCCCGAGACTTCCATTTCTTCCTGTTGACGTTCTCGTAATATTCAGATCATGCCCAGAGAACGCCTCCATAACGGGCAGCCGGATAGCCGGCTCGCTCGGCCCGAAGGGTCTGGGCATAAACCGTTTCTAGCGCGCCTCGAGGAGACTGATGGGCTAAGCAAGATCTCTTGTTAGCCCTCTCCCACTTGCCCCCGCCCGTCGGATTTTGGGGCGCGCTCTCCACGGGGCTGGACATGCCGCAGTGGGATGGGCCCTCAGACTGGTCGGCTTTGTGCTTCCCAATTAAAAGTCGCGATAATACGAATAACCGTCGGGCAAACTCACCTCCTCAATCACAGCCAGAAGCTTACAAACATGCTCGAGCTCGGCGCTGCTCAGCTACGTGAAGTGTCGGGGGCGACGCCCATCCCAGGTTCGGCTGGATGATTAAGGCAATCTTTTGGCTGCTGACCGGATCTGTCCAGGTGCGATGGGCTCCGGCTGGCCCCGCTCGGCCGACGGCCACTTTCAATCCCGCTCCGTCGGCGCAGCTGGCCAAGGGCCTGCCGGGCTGGGGGCCTCGTGCTGGAGCAGCTTGAAAGGTCTTCCTGAAAAACTTAGCAGAGCAGGGCGCCGAACCTTCTGAGGTCGCCAAGACGCGAGCTTTGAGGTCCACCTGTGGGCCCAGCCCGCCCTCGAGACAAGGTTTCCTGAGCTCATTTGTTCCAAGACGTAGTTTCACTTTGTCGGTCCTTGGCCCCCCGAGCTTGAGGAGCTCGATCCACCGTTTCGTCTAGCTCATCAAACACCTGCAGCGCGAGCTTGGGATCCACCAGGCCGCTGTCCTGATCCTGCGCGGCAGCGCCTAGACAGCCCTAACGCTGGCGAGCAGACGGGCGGACTCTTCGGCGCCTTCGAGCTCGGGAGGCGGCGTCTGGATGCTCACGAGGATCTCTGACAGACAAAACTCATATCCAGGGTGGGCGCGTCGAGCGGCTGCTCTCGCATTGTTTTTTTTTTCAGCCATCTGCTCGGGGCGGAAAGGCTTTTCCAGCTAGCCATGGGCCCCCCGTTCCCCGCAGTTCCTGGTGCCCAGCGAATCTTGGGTAAGCCTGCCCTCGGCGTGCTGGGTGACTTGGTCGGCGCGTCAGTGCGGATGCTGACGGAGGTCGCCATGTCGCTGGCGAAGTAGCTATAGGCCGCATTCAAAGCCTGCGGGCGGACCTCGATCCCAGAACCCCTCTCCAGGACCTAATCCCGGAACTCCAAGGCGGCCTCGGTGCGGGCCCAAGACGGCGCGTAGTTGGTTGGCCTATAAGGCCTCGTAATCGAAAGCGGTTGGGGCTTGTCCAGAACAGGGGCCATAAACGGCTTGCCACGCCGGAGCTGGAACGCCGCGGGCCTGCGAGGGCTCGGCGGGCAGTCGCCTGGCGCCTGGGCCCCCGCGAGGTCCCGGTCGGAACGCGACGAGGCGCAGAAAGAGTCGATGATCGGCGACGAGTTCTTCGAAATACACATTGGGGTAATCGGGGGGAATATTTTGAGGCCCGCTCTTAACGGGATAGAGTCGGTCAACTTATTCACCGAGACGTTGGAAAATCCTGCAATAGTGAGTGGCTGTCGCGCAGCATAATGTAGCATTGCGACCCCCGCTACAAGCACTAGGTTATACCTGTAAGGCCCGCAAGGCCCGCCCCGTCGGCCAGGTAGATGGAGGCCAGAACAAGCGGGCGATGTCCTGGAAGTTCGAGTGATGCTGTGGAACGTGGCCCTGCAACCCCTGGAGGCATTGCGCTCCAGAGACTCCCGAATCGTGCCTGTCGCGAATGAGAATGCCTGTATCTTGTGCAGGAGAGCCTTTGTCACTGAGCACTGCAGGGGCAAATGTGGCCCGCGATCATTCGCGCTCGCGCCGCTGAATGATATGAGGTAGGGCGTCCTTCAATGCTCGCACCTTCTGGCAGCAGATGACATCCACCCCCGCTGCTGCCGTCGACTTCAGAAACTTCCTGATCGATCTCCTGCGGCTGCCACTGATCGTGGCGATCCTAACCGCGCTACCCGCGCGGCTGGTCATCTTTCCCCTTGCCCTTTCTGGCGGTGCAGAAGGCCTTGGCGCTCTGCTGGAGCGCCTCGGTGGCCGCCTGCTGCCCAAAGGGGGGCGAGACGCGCTGGCCGCGCGGGTCGAGCACCTAGTCGGCTGCCTCGCACGCGCGCTTCGCGCCCAAGGCACTCATCTCCGCGTCGGTGATCTCCTCTTCCATATCGGCGGCCTCCGCGTCGAGAGTGGTGGCCTCGTCTGGGCTGATGTCACCCTCGCCTGCGGCCTCGGGCGGCGCCGCAGCCGCGGCGGCGCCGTCGGGCAGGCGCCGCCGCCGCCTCCGCGGCCCCGCTCGCCCGGCCAGGCTGCGTTGCCTGCTGTGAGGCCACCTGGGCGGACGTGCTCTGGGCCTTCTGCCGCTCCTCGCGCAGCTGGGCCGAGAGCAGCTGGATGGCCGACTGGGCCGTTCGACGGGGTGAGGCCTGGCGGGAACTTGCTCTGGATGAAGGGCTCCAGAGACGGGGTGGCGGCAATGGCGTGCTTTTGCAAAGCTTGCTCCGCCGCCGGTGGCGCTGGGTCTTTAGCTGCTTGGTCTTGATATTATTCTCGTAATCGCTGGCCTACTTGACCGTGGCCAGGCAAGTCTGGTCACGCTCGGACGCGGCGTGCTGCAACTTTTTTTGCTGTCCTCGAGCTGGCCGTGCAAGGGCTTCCGCTGCTGGCCCGGTTGGACGCCAGCGTGGGCGCTGAAACTGATTTCAGCTTTCGGACAGCCTGCAGGTAGCGCGGTCCCGAGGTGCCTTCCGCCTCCTCCCAGAACAGCACCGCGGCCGCGCCGCGCAGCCACTGGGTCGCGCTCCGGAGACTCGGGCGCGCAATCTCCCGCAGCTCCTGCTGGGTTGGGCCTGGGCGACGGGCTGAAGGATCGCCGGCGCCGCCTCCTTGGAGTGCCATTGTTGCTGTCGCGCTCGGTGGGCTTGGGCGAAGTGGTTAAATCCGACCGTCGCCCTATGGGGGCTTGGCCGCGCGCGCCGCGGAAATTGAACGATTTGTCAGCCCGCGTCCAGCCGTTGCACTTCCCCGTCCGGCAGCGCATGTTCATGCGGGCTCCGTTCCCGCGGATGCGACTGGCTGTCGTGCTGCTGCCCCCCATGGCGGGATGCTGGCAGGGGTGCCGGGCGAGACTGGTCGTCTGGTTGCGCCGAGAATGCGCGGGGCGGGCCGAGCGCGTTGCAAATTTGGGCCCCGGCCCCCTGGGCCTTGCCAGGGGGGCGAGCTTCAGCCAGGGGGGGGCGGGGGGGGGGGTGGGGGGCGCCAGAGGGGGAAGAGGAGGAAGACGAATAGGAGGGGGGCGGGGAGGAGCACGAGGAGGAGGACGAGGATGAGGGGGACGGGGATGATGATGAGGAAGATGAGGAGGGGGGGAAGGCGGAAGACGTGGGCGACGCGGGGGGGGGGGGGGGGGGGGGGGGCGGATGAGGAGGAGGAAGAAGAGGATGAAGGAGATGAGGAGGAAACGGGGGATGAGGCAAAGGATGAGGGGGAACAGCGGCGGCGGCGGCGCTCGACTGATCCGCGCGTCTGCGCGCGGGAAGCCCGGGGGGGCAGCGGCCAAGCACGGGGGCCACGAGCGCGCTATTTGTAGCGCTGCATTCGCGCGGCGGGGGGGGGGGGCAGCGCGCCTCGCGACCCCGGGGCGGAAGTGCCCCTGAGGCGAGGCCGCGCCCCCTAGCCCTGACGCGAAGACGGTGGCAGCGATCCGCCGTGTTGGACCGCGGGCAAGCCCGCAAAATGCGGGACTGGAACAAAAGCAGCGATTTTATTCCTGATACGCGAAACCGCTGAAATTACTAGTTCCCTGGGCGTCGACCCGCGGAATGGCTGCTGTCGGCGCTCTGGGGCCCTTGAATGAGTCGGAAAATGCCGCATCTAAAGGCGAGGGGGAGGTCGAGCGGGGGCGGCGAGACGAAGCTTCAGACGACGAGAAAGGGACAGGAAGCGGAGGCAGGAAGGAAAATGGCCTTGCCAGCACGGGGCTGCGCCGCCTGCCTCGCGCGGGGGCTCGCGGCGCTCGCGCCGCTGGAGTCGGCCGTGCGTCCAGGCCGCCCAGCGCTGGCTGCAGGGGCCCTTCCTGATGCGACTGCGGCGGGGTCCCCCTCATGGTTTTCGCCCCCGTCTGGGCGAGCGCGGCCAGCGCCTCCGTCTGGATCCCCGAATCCCTGGCCTCGATGACTATCTTCATCGCGCTCTTGTCGCGGGCATAGGACACTCAGCAGTGCTTGACCAGCTGGGCGAGCGAGGCGTTAGTGGGCATCGGAGCTCCCTGTGCTGGATCCACGTAGGCCTTGATGGCCGCTGCGTTTTGAGCCCCCGCTCGATCCCCCAGCTGCTGGAGGGCGCCCACGAGCGCGAGCCGCAGGTGAGGGTGGGGCACCCCCAGCTTCTCCAGTGCCTCCACTGGGTTGCCTGCTCGAATCTCTTCTCTCTGGTCGCGGCGCAGGCGAATGGCCCCCTGTGCGAAGTGCTTGCCTGTCAAATGAACTGCCTGGCTGTCGGTGCGGTCCGCGTGAATGTGCGCGATCATGAACACCGTGCTCTCGAGCGCCGCTATGCCCTGCATGTTCCTGAGAGTCGCCCGTGTCACGACGGGCGTCGGCGCTTGGACCATCTCGATGGACATCTGCTGAATCTGGAGCTGCGTGCTGGGCCGGGGGATGCGCTGCTCCCTGCTGCGCCTGCTGCCGCTGCTGCTGCTGCCGATGCCGCCCTGGGGGGCCTTCTGGAGCCGCCGCAGCCGCGGCTGCAGCTGCTGGCGCGAGGTCGCCCTCCGCCCCTGGCGCCGCCGCGGGCTCCATCTGCAGACTGGCGACTGGGGTGGCCTTCTGGGCAACGGCGACGAGGATGGCGGGGTCGGTCTCGCGATCGAACGACGGCGGGATGACGGGCTGTGGCTTGGGCTTCTCGCTGGCGGATCAGCATCGGGTGAATCGAGGCGACGGTGGGCATAGCTAGTGAGGCCTGTGTGCTCATCAAGCTGGGACTGCATCCTGCGATGGAACGCGTCCAGACGAGGGGTGATCGCGCTCTAAATCTATTGCTGGGCGTCGGGGGTCTGCTTGGCGACGGCGGCCTGCATCTGATAAAGCATGTCCAAGAGCGCGCTGTGGTTCGCGTGAATCGTGCCAGTCACGGAGGCGCCGATCGCGGAGGATGGGGCCGCGCGCGTGCTGGATAACTCTTCCATGCGCAACTGGCGCAGCACCTCGTCGGAAGTGGGGCCATCATTTGGAGGGTCGCAACGAGCAGAATCGCCAGGATTGAATTTGCGGGAAACAACACGGGCTCCACCTCTGCCTTTGCCGCGGTCCTGCGACGGGAAGGTGGGGGCGGCCTCGGTCGCGGCAGCCAAGTCCAGGGCCTCCTGGGAGTCCATGGGCGCATCCGCATGTGCCATGCATCGGGGGAGAGATCGCAGGCAAGGAAGGTGTTCGCCAATTTTTTGACAGCTGGAGAGCCCTGCGAGAAGGGCTGCCGCACTCAATGCTGGGCCTGTCCCAGACTTGAGCCAAAATGGCAACTGAGGAGGAGGAGGAACCGGAGGACGAGGAGGATGAGGAGGCGGATATTCGGCAGCCCTCGCTGCGCCCCAATGTATCGCCCCCCACTGCGCGCCCCCAAGGCGCAGCTGATGAAAAATACCCCGGGACCCGCAGCACCCAAAAGAAAACACGTAACGCCTGCGCAAACATTTGGACACATCCCAGCACTTCAGAAAACTTCGGAAACGTCTGACTGCCTACCTGACAACCCCAATCCAACCCGAAGAGCCATATTTCGGCTTGGGGGGGCGGGTTCAATGTGTTTTTTTTCCATGCTCCCCGACGCCCCTCCACTGGGAAAGGAGGGCACATTCGGGCCTTCGGGGTGGGTTGGGGCGGCTCGGTGGGTAATGAACATCAGGATGCTTCAGAATGCTCGTAAGCGAAAACCTTCAGACGACAACCTCTTTTGAGACGAAACCAGGACGAGGATAACATCGGGGGAGGATAAGTCGAGAATCTCTGAGATCCAACGGCGCTGGAAAATGTCTTGTGCGCCGTGGCCTTCTCGGGACGCTCCGGAACGCTCTGAGAGCGTTCAAGAACGCCCTGGAAAGGATTTGTCCTCGGCCCAGCCCCGCCCGATCTCCCCCCCCCCCCGCGGCGGCGCGGAGCCCTCGCCTCCCGCGGACCGTGTCGTCGGTCGGCCGCCGGGGGCAGTAGAGCCGGGAGCAGCCGACGAAGCAGCACCAGTACGAGCAGCACCCCTGCCCCGGCGGCGGGGGGCGCCCTGGTCGACGGCACGCGCAAGCGACCCCTGGGCAGCACGTCGTCGCTCGGACGTCCAGTCCCCGTGGATTTCTCGGCCCCGTGCGCGGTATCTCCTCGCAAGATGACCCAGGATGCTCCTCGAGGGTGCCCGCCGAGAAAAAAATATGCACAAGTCCGAGCGATGTCAAGGAGCAAGAATGACCTCTGGTGCGCGGCTTTAGGAGGGCGCGGGCAGGCCAGATCCAAGCGCGCCAGCTGGTGCTGGGGGGGCCCCTGTGAGCCGGCACCCAAAGGTCACTCTGGCGAAGGGTCACTCTTACGCGAATTCGACCTGTCCTTTGCCCCTGCATCCGAAGGCTTGAGCTGCGGGCGCTGCTGCCACGGATACCCTGCGGCCCTTGCGGAGGGTCTTGATACATTGTGGACGGGGTTTCGATGCTTGTGGAGTTGATTGTTATAGTTGCGGATATGTTTTGCATGCCTGCAGGTTCGGGTGTCTATACTTCGGCTTCTTCTTGCTTGCCTCGGTTCCCAATTATTGCGGTCCGCCCTTCGCCGTTGCGGTTGTCGAAGGGTAAATGTGAGAAGTTACTGCCCCTGGGGTGTAGTGTTGAGGAGGAAGGTTGCGAACAAAACTATAGTATGAGGAACTGGAAGCGGCCCCCCCGTCGCCAATTTTTATGTTATATATATATATATATATATATATATATATATATATATTCCTCTTCCTATATGTGTACAAGACCTGGCGGGGGGACCCCCCCAAAAAAAAACGGACTCCCGGGATCTGGGGCTTTGGGACCCTCCGGACGGGCCTCGAAGCGGCCAGAGTGACCGACGTTACCTCAAGATGGCCCAAGAGGCCTCCAGGACGGCCCCAAAGAGGCCAAGAAAGCCCCAAGAGGCAAACATCATTGATTTTCTGTTGGGTTTTGGTGAATCTGGGGGTTCTCCTCTTTTCGGCTTCCCGACGCTCCAGGACGGCGGTCTTCTTGGCGTCCGAAGCCGCCTGGGAGGCTCCAAATCGCCCCACAACCATCCGAAAGGGCTTCCAGGCAGTCCAAGAGAGTCCCAAAACGGCACAACACGGGTCCAAGATGGCCCTCACAGAACCCCATGGCGGCCCAAGATGGCCCAAAGACACCCTCCGAAGCATTCCAAATCGTGACCCGGTCGTTCAGGGAGACCGCGGTTGGAGGCAGGGTGGCCCGAGGAAGCCCCCAGAGGCCCCCAGAATACGCCCAGAAGGTCTCCAGAAGGCCTTAAGAAAGTCTGGAACATGTTTTGTGGGGCCCCCAGAGGCTCTCCAAGGAGGAGCCTCCGCAAAAAAAAAATGAGGAGGATGGGGAGAATGCGCAGGGTATGGCGAATATGAAGAAAAAGCATGGAGGAAAGATAACGAATAACCTGACTATAGCGACGATGCCGGAAAAAAAGGCAACAAGGAGTTATCGCTAGATTGTCGGCTTCACTTTCCTGTTATTCCGGCTGCAGACCAAACTTCAATGACCAAGGTGCATGGCGCGAAGCGCCACTGCAGTCTCGTATGAGTGTATGTATATGTATATATATACACATACGGACGCATATATATATATATATATATATATATATATATGTACACATATATATATATATATATATATATATGTGTGTGTACGGTATATATACACATGTTATATATATATATATATATCGGAGGTGAGGGGGTGAGATCGAAGTGGAACGGAGATCCCCCCTACCGGGAAATCGATTTCGGTTTCGTGTTCGTGCGTGCCGTGCGGGCGAGGCGAAGCTGCGTGGGCGGGCGAGAGGAAAGTCTCCTGTGCCTGAGGCGCGGCCGGACCAAATGATTCTCCACCGGGCGGCCGGTGGCGCGCGGTGTCCCGCTGGTGTCCCACCGGTGTCCCGTCGGTGTCCCGTCGGTGTCCCGATGATGATGTTGATGATGATTATGATGATGATTATGATGATGATGGTAATGATGATGATGAGATGATGTTGATGATGGCGATGATGATGATGATGATGATGATGATGATGATGATGTTGATGTTGATGATGATGATGATGATGATGATGACGTCGATTGTGAGATCGATTGTGAGATCGACAATGAGACCGAATGTGAGATCGATTGTGAGATCGATAGTGAGATCGATAGTGAGATCGATAATCAGATCGATTGCGAGATGATGATGGTGATGATGGTGATGATGGTGATGATGGTGGCGATGATGAAGACGTTGATGATGTTGATGATGATGGTTTCCCGATGACGATGATGTTGATGATGATGTTGATGATGGTGATGATGATGTTGATGATGATGGTGTCCCGATGATTACAGTCCGATAGTGAGACCGAATGTGAGATCGATTGTGCGATGCTGAAGATGATGATGGCCATGATGGTGATGATGATTGTGATGATGATGACGACGTTGATGATGATGATGATGATGATGATGATGATGATGATGAAAATGATGACGTTGATTGTGAGAGCGGTTGTGATATCGATTGTGAGATCGACAGTGAGACAGAATGTGATATCGATTGTGAGATCGATTGTGAGATCGATTGTGAAATCGATAGTCAGATCAATTGTGAGATAGATCGAGTGAGATCGATTGTGAGATCTATCGAGGAAGATCGATCGAGCGAGACCGATACTGAGATCGAAAGTGAGATCGATAGTGAGACCGATCGAATGAGACGTTGGTTCCTCCCCCCCCCGAACCTCCTTATCACCCGAAGGGTGGTCGTATAGGTGTGTGTGTGTGTGTGTGTTTATATATATATATATATATATATATATATATATATTATATATATATTCGCGCGCGCTTAGGTTCTAGCCGTGGCCACGGAACAGCTCCGAACACGGTATGACCAGGCACAGGTCCAAGTATGTGGCGTTAGCCCAGAAAACCAACTCCTCCCCGTCCTCCTCCTCCCCCTCCGCCTCCTCCTGCCTCTCCGCCCCCTCCTCCCCCTCCCTCCTCCCCCTCACCCTCCTTCCCCCCACCCCCCTCCCCTCCCCTCCTCCTCCTCCTCCTCCTCCTCTTCCCTCCTCCTCCGCTCCCTCCTTTTCATCCCGTCTCCTCCTCCTCCTCGTTCCTCCTCCTCCTCCCCACTCCCTCCTCCTCCTCTCGTCCTCCGTCCTCCCCCATCCCTCCTTCCTTTTTTCCCCCTCCTCCCCGTTTCCTTCCCCCTCTCCTCCCCTCCTCCTCATTTTCCTCCTCCTCCTCCTCATCCTCCTCCTCCTCCTCCTTCGGCGGCCGCGGCAGCGGCCGCACGAGCCGCGGCCGCCGCAGCTCAGGCCGAGACCAGGGCGGCCGGGGGCGGGCGGAAACGCGTCGACGGGCCCGCGGCGGCCACCGCTCCGGCCAGCGCCAGCGCAGCGGCGGCGGCGACCCGCAGCAGCCGCGGAAAACGGCCACGAGGCGGCGTGCCGGGCGGCCAGCGGCGCCCGCGGCGCCAGCGGCGAGTGACGGCGCAGGCGGCGCCCGTAGCCCGCCGCCTGGCACCGGCGGGGCCGGGGCCCCTGAGGAGCCCAAGCTGCGCCCGCGGCGCTGCCAGCGCCCCCGGCGAAGGCGCCGGCGCGCGGACGGGGAAGGGGGCGCCGGCGGCTGCGCGCGGCCCGGCCGCGGCGGCCCGCGGCAGGCGCGTTCGCGCGCAGCGGCGGGGCCGAAGCGGCGTCGCGCGCCCGGCCCGCAGCGGCCACAGCGGCCCGCGTGGCAGCAGCCGCCCGGCAGCGCCAGCGGCGGCGGGCGGCTGGGGTCGGCGGCAACCGCGGCGGCGGCGCCAGCCGACACAGCCGTGGCGCCAGCCAGCGGGGCGGCGGCGCCAGCCAGAGGCGACTGCGGCGGCGGCGCCGACCAGCCGGCGCCGGGGGGCGCCAGGCCAGGGGGCGCCGTAGCTCCACCGGCGCCGGCAGCGCCGGCTGCGCCCGCGCGCCGCTGCCGCCGCCGCCGCCGCGCCGCACGCGACACCATGGCCCGGGGGCGGTGGCCCGGAGGGAGGAGCGATTATCCCTTGCCGGCGGCTGGACCCGAGGTCGGGGGCAGGCCCCGGCCGAGCAAGCCAGCTTGGATCCCTTGAGCCATAGCGGCTTGAGCCAGGGTGTGGAACGGACACACAGACACAGACACAGGCACAAACAGAGACACAGACACTGACACAGACACAGACACAGACACAGACACAGACACACACACACACACAGACACACGGACACACAGACACACAGACACACACAGACACACAGACACACAGACACACAGACACACACACAAACACACACACACAACACACAACACACAACACACAACACACAACACACAACACACACAGCACACACAACACACACACACAACACAACACACACAACACACACGCACGCACGCACGCTCGCACGCACGCACGCACGCACGCACAAACACACGCACAAACACACACACACACACTCACACACACACACACTCACTCACTCACTCACACACATGCACACTCATCAACATGGGTTACGGAACCGTGGATCAGGCGCGGGGGCGCCAAATCCACAGATTGGGGCAGGGGCCCTCCAAGCATGAAGCCAAATGCCGCCTGATTTGGCGACAGTGTGCGCTGCATGTTCAGGAAACCCCGCTTGCACTTAGAGGTGCCAACTTGCCGTTCTTGAGCAATCTCTTGGGTATCCCCGTTCTCGCCTGGTGCCCCCCCATGGGTGCCTCGGGGGGGCGCCCCGCGCGGGGGGAGTTTTCGCCTGGTGCCCGCTCGTGGGCGCCTCGAAGGCGCCCCGACAGCTTGCACCAAGACTATATATATATATATATATATATATATATATATATATATTGCACAACATCGCGTGCACCACATAGCTTGTGCCACACAGCTTACACCACGTAGCTTGCACCGCGTATATTGCACAATCATGCCTTGCACCACATAGCTTGCACCACATAGCTTAACCCACATCGCTTCCACAATATAGCTTGCACCACGCAGATTGCAAAACGTAGGGTGCACCACGTAGCCTGCACCACATAGCGTAGTTACACCACATAAGCTCGCACCACATAGCTTACACATTCACAGTGCAACAACTTACGGTATGGGGTCCACACTGGCTAACCTCTATATGTAAGCGGGGCCCATCGTTAAACCAACGCGTCTTAATCCATGTTTGCGCGTCCTCGAAGAAGGGACGGCGGGGACGAGCACGATGTTGGCGATCCCTCCACCCTTGCAGGGGCCAAGGTACGGCCCTGCAGCCGCGTTTCGGCCCCCCTCGACGCCCACGCGAGGCCACCTCCTTCCTCCTTCTCTCCCTCCTTCTCCCTCCTTCTATCCTCTGCTTCTGCATCGTCGTCGTCGCTGTCGCCATCCTCGTCTTTAACGTCCTCTCCTCGTCCTCCTCCTCCTCCTCCTCCTCCTCCTCCTTCTCCCCCTCCTTCCTCCTTATCCTCCTCTGCCTCTACCTCGTCGTCGTCCTTCTCCTCCTCCTCCTCCTGCTTCCTCCTCCTCGTCCTCCTTTTCCTCCACCCCGTCGTCCTCACCGTTGTCGTCGCCCTCCTCCTCCGTCGTCGTCCTCGTCGACTGCGTCCTCCCATTGGCCCAGCCCCTCCGAGAAGCATCCCGCCGTCGGCGCGCAGTATGTGTCGTCCCTCACGTGGAGCTTCACGGAGTGGATGTCCACAGTCCTGTGGACGACCCCGATCTTGCTCCAGTTCTCGACGTCCGCTACCGTGCCTTCACGGTGTGGGTTGCGCTGTCTGGTAAACAGGGTTTCGGTCAGTCCTCAAGGCCCGCCTCCTCCCGGTAGCACTTTTCTTCATGCACCGCTCTCCCCCCTCCCGAGGCTCCCTGGCCAGTGACACGGTGGCGGAGCTTGCCGCAGGCACCTGTATAGTCGTCCCAGCACATCCAGAATGCTCCATCATCGGCGTCCGCGAACTTGCACACTTCCTTCACGCGCGGGTGCTTCTTCCAGAGCTCGCTCTTGTCGCCCCAATCGCCCTTCCACTCGCCAGCTCCCCAAGGATTCCTTATTTTCACAAGCCAGAACGTGGTTCCGCCGATGCCCATGGGCCCACTGTTGACTTCTACGACGTCGAGAATGCTGTAGGCGTGGCCCTTGTGGAGGCCGTCCTTGCCACTGGACCCGGAGGCGCAGAGTACGGACCTCTGCCTGTGGTACTCGAGCAAGATGCGAAACATCGCATCGTTCGTGATGAATTCACCCTTCTCCACGAAGCTGAAGTCGCGCCTGTCCTTCTCGTTCGCCTTGTTGACAATGTCGTCTCTTGTCCAGCCCTTCCCAGCATCACGCAAGAGTTACCCTGGGCAAGAGGTGCGCGGCCGTAGAGGGGCGCGGGGTGGCCAAAAGTAAGCGCGCAAGCCGCTGGCTTCGCATCGCATTCCACGATCGAGGGATCCCAGTGGGCTGGCGCCGAATGCCACTGTCACTCTGGCGATGGGTCACTCTTATGTGTAGTCGACCCCTTCTCTGGCTGTCGGGTCATGATTCGGGTCCCCGGCGGCCGTTCGGGGCGATTCGAACACCCCTGGAAAGCTCTCGGCGGGGCGCGGCTGCTGGAACTCATCCCGAGGCCAGAAAACCCCCAGGAAACAGCAAAGCATCCGACCACGTCCGCCGAACGTCCACTCCCGCGAAGGGCCACTCTTACCTAGGCCGCCTAACTCAGCGCATCGCGCCCCGCGATGCGCGATCCTCTTCGCGCCCTCGCCCCGCCGCCACCTTCGCGGCCCAAGCAACCTCGCGCAAAGCGCGATTGTCTTCCCGCCCCCGCGGGTTACCTGGCTGACGCTTGCCATGAAAGGCACGGCTCCTGAAAGAAACGGGTCCTGCTCTCCCTCCTGAAGAGCTTTTGAAAGCCCCTGGAGCCTGCACATTGCCGAACATATCAGGAACCCTTTCCCTCAGGATCGGCTCGCTTCATGGCGATCGCGTGCATCGAGGCCTCCCCAGATGGGAGTCCGAGTAAATGGGGTCGGAGGATCGTGCCGCATCGGGCGATACGTCGGCGACGTCGGCGATGCATGGGCGACGTCGGCGTGGACAAAATCGGGCTGCACATCGAGCCGCAAAGCCGATGCATTGCCGATGCGGCGCGATCCTTCGACCCCACCCTGCTCGGACCTCGTTTAGGTGACCTGAAGTGCAATCGGCCTTCTTGTCCTTCGACTGGAAGAACATCCTCGCCGGGTCCCCGGTCATGGCGCGCAGCGCCCAGACAGTGTGCCCGCCCTCTGTCGCGGCGTAGGAGCCGCAAAACTTCGCGAACGCCTTCTCGAGGAGCATGGCGTAGAGCTCGTTGCCGTTCGGCTGCGAGAACATCGGTGTGTCAGTGCCTTTCTTGCACGGGATGCAATCGTCGATGATGATCTTCTCCCACCGCTCCTGGGGGCGGTCATCCTCCTCCCTTCCTCTTCTCCCCTCCTCGTCCTCCTCCTCCTCCTCCTCCTCCTCCCCTCCCCTCCTCCCTTCCCCCTCGTCTTCCTCCTCCACAACCTCCTCCCTCCCCCTTCCAACCAACTCCTCTTCGTCGCGACACGAAGTGTGTCGGTGCAGCAGGGCGGTCACGGGAGTCTCGCACGAGGCATCCTTGCCACTCAAGGTCCTGAAGCTTAACATCCTCACACCAATTACGGATTGGCTCCCTTCTAGCAACGTCTCGAACTCGTCTGTGGCTCTCAACCGTGGCCATCATCTATGGTGCTTCGGAAGCGTTCTGCGACACATGCTTTGACGATTCTGGGCCCAACTTGGGGTGTGGTGTTTCGATCCTGCTGCTCCTCCTTCTACTCTTCCTCAACTTCCTCCTCTTAGCAAGCGCCCTGCCACCAGCTACCGATGCCGTTTGTCCCTGAGAAAGAGAAAGTGAGAAACACGGCACTTCAACACTGAACCCCTCACACCAGCCTCCTCCCCTCTACATCCCTGTATCCCTCTTCCTGCTCCTCCGCCCCCTGCTCCTCCTCCCCCTCTTCGTCCTTCTCCTCTCCCGCCTCCTCCTCCTCCTCCTCCTCCTCCTCCTCCTCCTCCTCCTCCTCCAGCCCCTTCATCTCCCCTTTCCCCCTCCGTAGTGCAAGCCAAGATGGTGCTTTTGTCCTGGCTGCTTTGCCCGGTCCGGCATGGAGAGACGACGAAGCTTGGCTACGGCCCTGGGCCAGAAGGGTCAGGCCCAGAGCCGTACCCTTCTGGCACATGGCCGTAGCCAAGGAGGCGGAAGACCTCAAGGAGGAAGCGGAGGAAGAAGAGGAGGAGGAGGACGATGACCGAAGAGGGGCTCCTGGTGGTGCAAGGCCTCAGGGAGGAAGCGGAGGTGGAGGAGGAGAAGGAGGAGACGCAGGAGGAGAACGAGGATGATGACGAGAATGAAGAGGAGGAGGAGGGAGGAGGACGAGGAGGTGGAAAAGGAGGAGGAGGGAAGATGGGCTGCTGGCGGTGCGAGACCTCAAGGAGGAAGAGGAGGAGGAGGAAGAGGAGGAGGAGGGGAGGAGGAGGAGGAGAGGAGGAGGAGGAGGAGGAGGAGGAGGAGGAGGAGGAGGAGGAGGAGGAGTAAACCCGCCCCCAAAACGGCCCCAAAGTCTTCCAAAACGGCGCTCACGAGGCCACGGTCACTCGTAACGGACGATGGGTCAGGGCTCCCGAGGCAACGATCCTTTGTAGAAGGCATTGGGTTCGAGCTCCCGAGCCCCCACGACGGCCCACGCAGACAACCAAGGCCGCCAAGAGGGCCCAGGATGCATCCCAAACGGCACAAAGTGCCCCAGGGACGGACGGCCCACGATCGCCTCAAAACGGCCCAAGAGGCCCCCAAGACGGCCCACGAGAGCCACATAAGGATCCCCAGCAGGGCCCGAAGAAGCCAACGTTAAATATCCCCCTAGGTGTTTCACAGATTTGGGATTCTTCGCCTCTTCGGGCTTCCTGCAACTTCAGACGGCCCTGGAGGTCCCCCCTCCTGACCCCATCCACTGCCCCCCCCCTCCCCTCCTCGCGAATCGATGGGGAGGCGGCAGGACTTGGAGAGGAAGGACGGGGCGGAGCCCCTCCTCCCGTCCTCCCCGATTCCTCCCTGTCGCGTCTGGTGCACCGCTCCTTGGCGCCGTCGTAGATGCGAAGCCTGTACTTGCCCCTCGGATTGCGCTCCTCGGTTGGGAGGAGGGTAGGCGAACGGCCCCTGGCGCCGACCCGCACTGCTGACGTAGGTAGGCATGATCTCAGGCTGGGGCCGCTCGTCTCTCCCCAGCAACTGGCGTTACACTCGTGGGCCGCTCCGTGCGATGTGGATGCGCTTGCCGCATGAGTCACACACCCCGCGGAGGAGGTGGTGGAGAACGAGCACGGGCGGGAGCAATCTATCTTTCTGCCGGAGCTGGCGGGTGAGGGGAGAGCTCGAAACAGAACTATCGAAACAGCTGCAGAAACCGCAACCGTTCTGCCCGAGTGGCGTTGGTGATGCCCTGCAAATGCTATCACAAGCTCGAAACCCGATCGAACAAGAACGGGAAGCGCCGCTTTAGTCCAATGGGCTTATGGGAGAAAGAACGAGCAGACAGGCGAGGGCGACGTGGAAACGATGACCACGACGACAACAACGACAACGACGTGGAGACCGTGAGGATAGCGATGAGAAGCATGAGGACAACGAGGAAGAAGAGAAACACAAGAACCAGGACGAAGAAAACGAGGGCGAGTACGAGGAGGAATGCGGATAACGATGACGACGACGACGACGACGACGACGACGACGACGACGACGACGACGACGACGACGACGACGACGACGACGGAGGACAGTAAGAGGCAATTATAGAAGGACGTTGAATCAGGAGAGGGTCCTGGTGACCCTATCGGGCTACCCTGGGGGCTCCTGGCGCCGCGCGGGGTTGTCTTGGGGCATATTGGGGGCTTCTTGGGGGCCTCTTGGGTCATCTTGTGGGCTTCTGGGGTCTTATTGGGCTGTCTGGGCGCGTCGTGGGGCTCTTTGCTCACAAGGTCACGACTTGTAACAAATGGTGGACCCGCGCTCCCAAGGCAACGACCCTGTGTAAAACAAGAACGGATTAGTGTTCCCGAGCTTCCAGGACGGCCGAGGCAGTCAACCAAGGTCGCCAGGGATGGCCCAATATGGATCCAAGACGGCAGAGGATGCCCCAAGACGGCCCACGATGGCTTCAAAAACAATCCAAGAGGCCCCCCAGACGGCCCACGAGAGCCACATAAGGATACCCAGCAGGGCCCCGAAAAAGCTGACATCATAGATCGCCCGAGCTTGTTTCAAATATTGGGCGTCTTCGCCTTCTCGGGCTTCCTGCAGCTCTAGACGGCCCTGGAGCCCCCCACGGTGTTCTCATGACGGCCCACGAAAACTCCAAAGTTACAACATCCGCCGGCCCTGTCGGCGTGTATGAGAGGCTTGTCTGTTCGAGTAGTCGTCTCCGTCAATCTTCGTCTCCGTCGTCCCCGTTCCCTGTACCCTCGTCCTCAAGTTTGTCAACGAAAGAAAAATCTAGCAATGTCGTAATTGAGTCGAAAGAAAGCCCCTTTCCTTTGAACCCCCCCGTCGGGGGAGGGTCCCAGGGGGGTGGGGGGGAGTCCAGATACGCATTCCCCCCTAGGGGTCCTGGGCCTCAGAAAGTACCAAGGCAGGCCACGGCTGCCCGAATAGGCCCCCGAGACAAACCAAAAGGGCACCCACTAGCCAAACGATCGGTCCAACATGCTTTCACCCTCCAAGGCTGCCCGAATCGCGGCACAGAAAAAGCGGCGACCTCGCCTCGGCGAGCGCATTTTTGGGGAGGGGGCTTCGCGAGTTCCCTTCGGAGCGCCCGCCGTGGCCGCCTCCCCGCGCGGATCGGCCCTCGGCTCAGCCGCCGACAGATGACACCCGTAGACTATGCAACACAAACGCCTCTGATGCTCACCGTGGCCGCCCCGCTCAGGCCCACACCGTCCAAGAGACAGCGCGGCCCAGAGCAGGTCCGATGGGGGCCGAAGGGGTGAACACATTCGGGGAGGACGGGGCCGCCCCGATCCTCGGCGCGCGCAGGACAGGCGGCCCCCTGAGCAACTGAGTATCGTTTAACCGATCCCCATCCCCAGCGGGGTGGCCTGGGCCCCACTGGCCGACTCACAGCCTTAGATGGGGATATAGGCCGTTCCCTTCGGGTTTCGGGGGGTGTATCCCCAACTGGGGTGGTGCTTTGGTGGGGCTCTCGAAGGGGATGGAGATGGGGATGGGGATCGGATAAACGATACCGAGCAACGGTCACCGCAGGCGGAGAATGACCTCCAGTGCCCTGCGGCCGTGCGAACAAGGGGGAGGTGGACAGCGCGCGGCAAAGGAAAGGACGGCCGTCAGGACCCCAGATCAAGCCCGCCGCGCGAGACCAGACCGCGGTACACCCTGCGAAATGCTTTAGAAATCATGGGTTAAGAAATTCATAGTCTCAGAACTTGAAATCTAACCCAACATGTCTATTCAAATCTTAGGAATTACATTGAAACGTTAAGAATAATCGAGACTCTGGCCGAAAATGTAAGTTTTCTTAAGCATCGCCTAAGGTGTACGATGGAGACTGCGCGGCCTTCCTGAGCAGCTGTCACCGCAGGGGGGAAAAGACCTCCAGCGCCCCGCAGCCGTGCAAATAAGAGGATGTAGACAGCACGCAGCACTGAAACGGACGGCCCCGGAGGACCCCAGGTCGAACCCGCCGCGCGAGCCCCACGACCGACAATGATAAAGTAGAGCGGCCCCCTGCGCACCTGTCACCGCAGGGGGGGAATTACCTCCAGCGCCCCGCGGCCGTGCAAACAGGGGGAGTGGACGAACGCGCAGCAGTGAAAAGGACGGCCACGGGGGCCCCAGATCGAACCCGCCGCGCAGGTCCAGGGACCGCAGAAAATGCGCGCTGCACCCGGCGGGGTGACGACATGCTGAAATTAATAATAATAGAAGCGCGCATTCAATCAGAGTCAAAAGAGTTCCCCCCGATGCAGCCCCCCCAAACGCCGTCGGACAAATCCGAAGACAGGGAGTGTGAGGATTGGCCATCCATGCCAAACCAGAATGACCCGCGGGCGCCCAGCTGTCGGTCTTCCCCGCATCGGACTCCTGCCTCGCTGGTGGCAGCCCGGGTGAGCGAAGCACCTTTTATCTGCAATGCGTCGTTCCTCCGCCGCAGAGGGATGCGCGGAATGGGCTGCACTGGGTGGGGGCCCTGGAGCCACCTGGGAGGGCTTTAAAGAAAGTGATCCGACGGTGATGCGAGGCAGCTTGGGGTGTTTACCCCGACAGATGCTGGGCCTCGCCCTGCGGCCGGACTTCGTGTGCGTGTGTGTGTGTGTGTGTGTGTGTGTGTGTGTGTGTGTGTGTGTGTGTGTGTGTGTGTGCGTGGGTGCGTGCGTGCGTGCGTGCGTGCGTGCGTGCGTGCGTTTTTGCGTGCGTGCGTGTGTGTGCGTGCGTATCTCTCTGCGTGTGTGTGTGTGTGTGTGTGTGTGTGTGTGTGTGGTGTGTGCGTGCGTGCGTGCGTGCGTGCGTGTGTGTGTGTGTGTGTGTGTGTGTGTGTGTGCATGTGTGTGCGTGCGTGTGTGTGTGTGTGTGTGCGTATGTGTGTGTGTGGGTGGGTGGTGGGCGGGCGCATTTAGCTATCGAAGAATCTATCCAACCGTGGGAGCTGTGCGCGTGGCATTTAGTGCACACAGTGAACGTAACTCCAGCGCTGCACGGCAATGGGATGCAATTGTTGCCAAACTCAGCGGGTGCCTGGTCATCAATGGGAGCCGAGCCGACATACCTCTCAGGGCGTGGTCTCCTCGGACAGCGCTTCTCACTCATGCGCCAACAGGTACCACGACGCCAAAACGTGCCCAAACAAGGCCACACATGCGGCGTTGTCCACACATCGTCCTTGGGCTCCTTGGGAGGATGGGAGTACTCTACCTGACCAAACTCACGCAGAGGCTGCCATGGCGACAACAGCTTCATACACAGAGAGCAAAAAAAGGCCTTAGCATACTTTATATCACTTTATATCGCGATCTATATGAGCAAAGACTTCGGGGTCGGGCAGGGGGCGGCGAGCGCGAGCAAACTTGGCAGCTCGGTCGGCAGCGTCGCTTCCTTCCTGCAGGAAACGATGCTCATCCGACACGTCGGGATCATCGGTTCCTTGGCGGGCACGAACATGCCGCGCGCTTTGGGCGAAACGGTGGGGCGGATGAGAGCGAGTTTGCAACGAGTGGCCAGCGTGCGAGCGCTCGTCTGAAACCTGGGCATCCAAGGGGGAGTGGGGAGGGGGGGGGGGGCATGGGAATCTACAACGCCCTTACAATCGCGATGTATGCCACTGTTGCCTGTCACCGGCTGTATAGCGGCAAGACAAGCGCAGGGCCAATGACCCTGCCAACAACATCCTTCTCAGTGTACAACGCGGCGCTCCACGGGGCGCGGTGCCTCTCGCGCGCAAGCAACCGGGTGCGCGACCCGTCTACAGCAATCTGGCCTTGGAAACTCCCGGGGAGGGCGGGGGGAACCAACGTGCCCATGAAAATCCCAAGTCCATTCGCCCATGTGCTCGGGGGGGGGGGGGATCTGCTGAATGGGGGAGGGCTCCATGAGTGGGAAGGAAGAGCGTGTCGACTCCCCGGGGCGCAAACTCGATGGCTCCGTCGAATCGCTCACTGGGGGCAAGATCTCGTCGAACGCCACAACGCGCAGGGCGCGGCCAAAGCCGATGCACCATGCCATCCGTGGGGGCCCCGCAATGCTCGCGGCCAGCTGGGGACATATTACCTTTACTACGGGCAGACATACAAGTCCAAAGAGCTTCCTCAGCAGCGCCACGCAGCGCGCCCTTCTCCGGGGGCGCGAATTTCTTCGAGGCGGGGCTAGCACTGGCAACGTCGTAGGACAGACGGTGGGCAAAATGATGTTTGGCGCCGATGTCGCCCTCCAGCTGCCTCGGGGCCGCCCGTTTCACGCGTGTCCTGGAGGGGGGGGGGGGGGGGCGAACGCAAGTTCGCGAATGTTACACAAGTCGCCCTGAACGGAGCAGCAAGATGGCACGGGCCGAAGGCCATGCGCATGGCAGAAATGAGCCCAGAAAAAATGCGCCACGAGGCAACACCTGTGGCCTTAACGGCCTCCCAAAGCCGCCGCAACTTGAGGGGGGGCGAACCCGCGGGCGCGAATCCTAGCGCGGGCGGCCCGCGCCTCACGGCGCCAGCGGGCGGCGCGAGCAACTTGGGCGAGCCGGACAAGGTCTTTCTCCAAGAGCAGCAACGCCCTCAGAGACCCCTGAGCAGCGGAGGGCTTGAGCACCGAGGCAACAGATTTCCGAAGGCTCAGGGATCCTTTTCTTTCGGAGGGGGGGGGGGGCGCGACGCTCGCGCCCATAGTTGATTGCGGCAAGGGGGGGGGGGGGGGGGGCAGAAATCCACGAGCGACGGGCGCGACGGCGGATGGCGCGAGCGAACTTGCCAACTCGTCGAGCTCTAGCCCGGCCAGCGCGACGACGGGACTTCGCGTTGAAGTTGCGCCCCAGGACCCTAACATACCCCCTTGGACATCATCAGCGCCTAGGTTGGGGGAGGAGGAACCCAAGGGACCTGTGATATTTTCGCGCACGAGCTCCTGAATACGTAAACCCAACTGCCGGGAGGAACCAACACCGCCTTGTCATGCGATGGAGTGGCTCCGATAACATAGGTGGCATCCTCCAGCTGCTGAGCGCCAATAACTATGCCGCCCGCCACAGTGGCATCCGCGCCGGCAGCCGAAATCAACGAGTTCTCCATGCAAAACTTGAAGTCGACCCCTGGAGGCCAGACGAACTGGTCCAGAACTTCGACGCAGTTGATTCCGAGCATAGTGGTGGCTAGCGAGCAACCTGCAATAACACCAGACCCGGCATAAGCAGCTGAAGAGAGCAGCCCATCCAAGGCCATATCTAGCACAAGAGTGAGCAGCGATGGCAAGACGGGCAACTGCGAAAGGGCAACGGAGCAGAGTGCATCTATCCGAAAGGGGAGCAAGAGCAAGGGTCACGCAGTATTTCACACAATCCCACAATAGATTTGCAGCGTGCCGGCCGCTCGCGACCCCCCAGGTCCGATGCAGCCAATTGTCTCCCCACCGTGTCCCCCGCTCCAGCCCCCGATCCTCCAGCGAAGCAAGGCCGAGCGCACTCAAGCCCCAATTGGTTGGCTACCAGACGTCTAGCTGTAGCCCATGCGCGGTCAAGCGTGCAGCAAACGCCGATCGGCCTGACACCAATAAGAATATTGAGAACGAGGTGGAGGACCGCGTGGGCTCTGGCGACGGAGTAACCCCGAGACCTCCATGCTTTTGAACAACTTGAGCACGCGCAAAATCGTCGCCAGACAGCCAACCGAAATGACGAATGTGGAAACCGTCACGAGCGACCGCGGAGTTAAACTTGCGGCTGAGGCACATCTAGCAGAACGAGGCCATACCTCAATCTGGCATGGCCTTCGCAGGCACAAGCGAAGAAACAAGATGTGGCGGCGTCGAAGAAGACTTCCACAACTCCTGAAACCTGCGGGCCTTGTGGCACAGCGCGCTGCGCGGGTCGCTGACGCGCCGTCCGTCGCGGGCAAGGGCCGCGCATGCCTGATTAGCAGCGGGGGGGCTAGTTAGCAACGGGGGGGTTAGTTAGTGAACCTATGGGCACTCTTGTCTCTTGCCACCCTGATCAAAACCCTTCAACACCCAGGCCCGCCAGGAGGCCGAAGCGCCAGCACGAGCGGTTCTGAGGCTCTCGTCGAGCGCAAGCTGGGCCGAGGAATGGAGATCCGCGGCCCTGGGGCCAAGCCTAAGCGCAGCCCGAGTAGGTCCTGAGCACGGGGCGCGTCGAACGCCAGATGCAGAGCCAGATCGAGGAGATGGCGACGAGGAGCCAGGCGGCGCGGGGCCGCGGTGGGGATGGCAAAGCCATGCGATATTGTTTGCTGAAGGCCTTGGTGAGACGGGTGTTGGATGGCAGCTTGCAGCGCCGGCGCAATCTTCCAAAGCCACCAGGCGGCCGTGGGCGACGGTTGCCTTGGGCCCTGGGCATCGCGAGCGTAAACCGACATCTCGGCGCCAGAAAGATCACCCGCTCGAGCGACCGACCTCTCGGCGCGGCTGAGGTCGTAGCCGCAGAAGAACGAGACATTCATCTTTGCCCGCCAGTGGCACCGCGCGTGCCAGCGCAACTGGGAAAGACGAGACGACCGCCAAGCTCATCGGAAACGCCGCGGTCGTGGAGCGCAGATGGCGGCACGTGGAAGCCACCGCCCAGTGTCCGCGGGAGAGAAGCGGGGCCGACTGCAGCGCCCGCGTCCGCAAGCAAATGTAAGTTACATTCAGACATGCCGCGACAATCGTAGAGGTAAACCGATGCGACGCGCAAATCGAGGCCACCAGAAATAGACTATACCTGAAATCCGACGATTCGGTTCGGGATGGCGAACGCGCCCCTGAAGGCCCAGGGAGGGCATCGTGAATATCGCCGCTCCACCGTGATACCCCTGCCCTTCCGCAGGAGACGCCGGGCCCCAGAGGGGCCGCCACCCTCTGCGCGTGGACCGCCGGCTTGCCTCGTTGATGCGATCGGAGGAAGTCGGATGACCCTCTTGCATCGAGACTACATGCGCGACACATTTTCCCCGAGCCCCACCCTGAGACATCGGCCGTTTCGACAGAAAGAGCCGAAGAATCCCAAAGCCCGTCAGAAGAACTAAGAGGTAAGAGGGCGGGCCACTGGGGAGGCTCCTGAAGGGGCTCCGAGGATGCAGGAAGCCCAGGATGGGATTCGGAGACGTTGAAATCCTAGCGGCATCTGCGCGGAGCTTGGCTCGGCTGCGCGAGCCTGGGCCTCAACGGGAGCGGAAGCCGTTGGCGACGACGGAGTAGCGGAATCAGAGGACGTGGACGCATCTGGTGCTGTGGCGGGCGGGCCTCCACCTGTCTCCGATCCACTGGGAAGGGGGCGTAGCGGCCTGGGCCGCCGCTGGGGCAGCAGCTGCAGCGCCGTCGGCACCAGCCCCTTGTGCGCCTCTTCTTGGTAAGCCGAGAAAGAAGTTTAGATTGTTCCTGTCAAGCCTGGCGCGCCGTGGCCGCTGCTTCGCCGAAGAGTGAGTGACTGCGCTGCGGCCTTGAGCTCCGTCTGAAGCTGCAGCAAGCGCCTGTCGGCCTCCTCCTGGGCCTCGGCCGAGAAGTCGCACTCCTCACTGTCGAGCTTGCCAAGCGACCCGAGGGGGATCGGAAGGTTGAGAAAGCTGCTGCTCCAGACGATTTGTAGCCGAACGCTGCCTTCTCCAACTTCCCTCAAGCCCATGGACACGCTGGAGTGCGCCGTTGATCTGGCGCTGCAGGGGCGAGGCGGCGGGGTCCGAGGCTTGGCGGGAGGCGATGATCTTCTTATAGGCCGAGGATGTGCCGATGTCACCCAGCTTGTCGAATAACTGGGCGGCCAGCTGCAAATCCTCCAGCGACGCGTCGGCAGAGATGCTTGGCATGGCTGGGATGGCACCCTTTTGACCCCATGAACTGAGGCCCAGGGAAACGGGGGAGAGCATGCCCAGCAGCGTCAGCACCAGCACGATCGTCGCCGCCGTAAGAGTCACTCGTGTAGGACCTGTCAGACCATGTCCAGTGACGACTCCATCCTCCCCGCGAAGAGGCGGGGGGCTGAGGCGGTGCTGGATTATCCGGATTTCGCTTGGCGTGGCAATGCTTGCACCAATGCCACGTAGCCTTGTTGCGGCGGTGCCCACAGGTGCTGCAGGCCCACAGCTTGGCGCCACTGCCATTGCGCAGCGCGGCAGGGGGGGAGACCATGAAAAAGGAACGGGTCCCTGCGTTAGCCGAGTAAAATCGGCCCTCAAGCGAGCACAGAACGCATGGTACAGCCCAGGGAGAGATGGACGAGTGCCAGGAAGCAGCTCGAGCCGAATGCGCTTGAGAGGTCACCGCAATACTGAACAAACCCGGCCTCAAGGCCACCAGACAGGGCCCCTAGACCGTCCACGATGGCCACACAACAAAAAACAAACTGGCCCAAGAGGGCCCATTGAGGGACCCATGACGGCCTCGCGGGGCCCCTCGACGGCCAAAGCCAGCCCAACGGCTGCCCCATGACAGCCCCCAAAGACCCCCTAGACGGCGAAACTGCCCCCACAACGGCCCCAACAGACGACCAAAACGGCCCAAGCAGGCCCCCAGACGGTCCAACAGGGACCAATGGACCCCAAAGGGTGCCCCACATGATCCCAAGACAGTCCCAAGACGGCCCAAGTGAGTGAGAGGCCCTCAACAAGTGAAAACGAACGAGGTATCACATGTGACGTATGATGCCACTGATGATGAGACTGCGCGGACGGAGACGGACAGCAAAGCATGGCATCCCACCGACACGTCGCAAGCCTTCGAAGTAGAATGCTGCCCGCTGCAGCTCTTGCACCGCTGCTTCTGCCGCTGCCTCTGGACGCTGGGGATGCCATCACGCCACGCGGTCTTCCCACTTTTTGACTGGACGGGAAGGGGACGAGGAAGTGGAGGAGAAGGAGGATGAGGAGGAGGATGAGGAGGACGAGGAGGAGGATGAGAAGGAGGAACAACAAGAGAAGGGCGAAGATGAGGAGGAGCAATGTTGCCCGGTCAAGTGTGTCCTTGCTCAGAAACACCGACTCGATGGCACCAGGATGCTCGGCAAGGCACGCCATGGCGGCCAGTAGCCAGCAGTTGCCAAGAGCGCCTACAGCCGAATAATCAAACGTGCACGCAACATACTTAAATTGATAACACGCAGGGTCTCGTGACGCTCCGAACTTTGACATCGAAGACACGTCGCAGATGAAACCATGCCGACAGCTTGGCATAGCGCAGACAGACTCAACCTTGAATGCGACCGCAGAGGGAAAATACCTACGACCATGGGGCGTTCATGGAATATCCGTGGGCTTACACATTGGCTGAACATCAAAGCTTGCAAAGACACCATGGCAATACCACGCGACCCTTATACCGGTACGTATTAGCACGGAGATGAGACCATGACGAACACCAAGTGCAATGCACGATCGGATGTATCATTCAACATGGCCAGTGACCTTGCGAAGCGAATAGCGAAGAACCTGCATCGGGCGCACAGCAATTACGAACATTCTTCAATAACCTTGCGACGAACGCTATCGCGAACAAGCCAAATGCGCGCATCGACGCAAAGTGCCCGCGCAAACTAGAAGCTCGCGACCTGGTGCATGGCAATACCCCGATGCAGCTGCAGCAAAGAGCAATACACCTGGAACACATCGGCGAAGCGGCTACGGTGGGACATGCAGAGGAAATTGCACAGACTGCGGGGCCGCGCACACCATCTGTCCGACCGCAAAAAAGAAAAAAGAAGCGGGGCCCTGGCAGATATCTCTGCTATCCTCCCTACCATGCATCGGGGAGGGGATCGGGAATGAGTGGAGGGAGGGGGGCGGATCTATAAAAACGAAGAAAGAAGGCTACCGCGGGTGAAGACGGAGGAGGAGGATGGAGGATGGGGGAGGGTGGAGGAATAAGGAAGAAAAGGAGCAAGAGGATGGAGGACGGAAAGTGCAGATGACGATGAGGGTCAAACCCGCTTTGTCTGAACCTCTTGTGGAACCGTCCGCGCCATGGACCTTCTCCCCGCCCCTTCGCTCACGCGCGACATGGGTAACCAAGCCTTTCGCCTTGCTCCCCATGGCCAGAATCCGATCGGCATCGATTCCCAGCCCCCCGCCTAAACTCCATTCCTGACCGTGGGGGCGAGGGGGTGCACGACAGCCAAAAGTTGGCCCACCTCCTCCAACTGTCCCAGAGCCCCCCCACAATAACAAAAACACGCCCAACCCCTTCGAGAGAGGTGGTAGAATCAAGAGAAAATTCCACGACGCCATGCAATCATACAAGGTGGAGAACGTATTGGCCACCTCCCGTTGGTGGCAGCAGGCTTCTGGTGCCCACCTTTGGGTTTCGAAAGGCCCACGGTGCCCTTCGGTGCCCAACCAGTCCCGTCCACAACAGAAGAACAAACGACGGTAAACACCACATAAATGCTTGACGGCCCGCGCGGATTTCTTGGATCTGCGCTGGGCTCCTCTCCCTGGCACGCGGAGCGCGCCAGGGGCGGCGCCAGAGGCGCCACCAGGGCGGCCGAATGCGGATCCAAGAAATCCGCGCGGGCCGTCGACATTGTATGTTTATGCTAGGGCTCCCAACTTCGCGCTTCGCGCTGCGCGAAGCGCGAATAACTTCGCGCTCTCGCGCCGCCCTCCCAAAGGGAGAATAGGAGGACGAGGAGGAGGGGGAGAAGGAACGAGGACCGCGAAGCGCGAAGCGCGAATAACTTCGCGCCCTCGAGGGAGCCCTTGTTTATGCTGTTTTTTTCTTCTTCGATCACCCGTGCCCACCCCGTCCCGTCCACAAGACCTTCGCGCCCCGCCTATGGCTGAGGGGCATATCTGAGGGGGGGACTGGCACAGGGGGGACACCTCGACCTGGAAGCGGCGCTCCATCGCCGATAGATCGGCGATAAGCCCTCGATACTGAACCCGCACGGTCCGAGGCAGGTTGGGGGGCTATCGGGCCCCCGTCGGCGAGATCAATGGGCGATGGCGGGTCGAAGCATCCCCCCTTGGAGAAACCCAAAAAGGCACCAGTGCCACTCCTCCCCGGACCTTTCAGGTGCGTTCCAACCAGAATTTCGGGGCGAATGTAGTGGTGAAGACGAGGGCCTCCCAGGAAGCCCAAAAGGGAAACGTAGGCAAGGGTGACAGTATGGGCACCTTTTCCTCCTGTGCCCCCTATGCCTATCCCCCTATCCCCCTATCGTTGCCCCTGACCCTGCGGTGGCGACGACGGCGATGTGTTTCGCACGCGCGCGGCTGCACGCGCGAAGCGCTCCGGCAGGGGGGGGAGGGGCTGCAGGTCGTCGGGCCGGGGAGGGCCTGCAAGCGCTGGCGAGATGCCACTGCGCCGCGCCATTCCTGACTGGGGGGAGCGTTCGATCGAGCCTCCAAGACCGGGCGTTCGCAGGGGGGGTGTTACAATCGGACCTGGGGCAGAGGAGCAGCCTTCGAGAACATGAGACCCTCCGCCGGCCAAGACACAGAGGACAGCCGAGGGTATATACCCTCCCCAGGATGTACAAGAACATCCCTCCCCGAACCGACCTCCATCTTATACCTCGGTCCGACCGTATCCCAAGGTGGGGTCAGGGAACGAACTCGGCCGGATGCTCACATCTCCTTCTGCCAGGAGCCATTCGGGTCGATTTGACCTTTCGGCCCTATCTCGACCGGGGCGGGGAAGCGGCCTCCAGAGGGCGAAGACTACGACAAACTGGCCGCCGCGATGTTCTCCATCGCCGGGGTCTGAGGCCGATCGCTCCTCCTCGCTCGCTCGCTCCTGCCGCCGGCGTCTGAGGCTCATCACGGGGCGCCGCTGCTTCGCCGAAGGCGCCCCGCCCCCCTCCACTGTCTCGCCGAAGAGCTGCATCTTGCCGCCCTTCGCCAGCTTGCTGGCCCTCCCCCTCCCAAAGATGAGGGGCAACGTGCAGTGTCGACGTACCGAGGCGGACCAAAGACACCAAGGCGGACCCCCGAACTTGTGTGTTTGTGCCGCGCTTTCTTCATCGAAGGGTGCGGGCACAGGCCGCAGCTCATCAGACCTTTCCGCGGTCGTGCCTAGCGACGAACCCCAGGGGCTAACCTTGCGCCAACACGGCAGCGGCATATCCGCAGAGCCTTTGTCGATCCAACGCAGAAGTGCGACACATGACAGCAATCGCCGCCGCCGCCGCCACGCTGAACGGGACCCTTGTGCGATGCGGTCGGGAGGCGCACTGTCGACGCACCGAAGACAGCTTGACACA